TTTTCATGAAGCAGCTGGTGTTGTCTGTGTAACAACATCCTCCCCATTAAACTTTCATTGTTTTGCCATTGTGCGCCAAACTGTCTCAGAATATAACACATCCCATACAGTCACTCACCCCAACACACCATGCAGGCTGTTGTGAAACTCTGCACTGGTTACAAATTAATCTGAAATCCCACTCATATTTAGCTCCTGCAAGCCTGGTACAAAGTTTACCAACTCATTCCTTCCAATAATTCATGTGATGGTTAATATTTGAGCAGCACAGATAACCTGAACTTATGGAATTAGACTTCAGCTCTTTGAACTGAGGACAATTTAGTACCACGGCAATCCTTAAGTGATTATGAAACCAGTCTTGTCCGGATAAAAAGCTGTGCTGAAACCTAGTCATGTTCTTAACAGGAAATTTACCAGTTCACTTCACAGCAACAGGGTAAGCCTGTCAGTAGCAAGATATGGCAGAAAATATACTTAGATATGATAAGTACGACTATTTTACTTCAGGAATAAGTAGTCTGTATAATAGCAGCCATGTCTTCTGCAACACTATCCAGTATCCAGTACCTGAAAAGAATAACAAAAACAATACAACACCTTTTTTCCAACTGGTCTGATTTAGTTTACAGAGGCAATATAAAAACGGTCCAAAGATTTGACATTGAAAAAACATAATGGATTGGTTGATCCAGTCAATAGGACAATTTGGCACATGGAGAAAATTCCTTCCAATTCAGAGCAGGATGTGGTTAAATATGGAACAGATTCTACTGCAACTTAATTGTTCCAACCATTTAGAGTGGACTCAGTCCAGGGGTCCCTGGGGGCAGTCCAAGACAATTCTTTATGGATGACCAGAGCAAATGTTCTCTCCAGATCACATTTAAAGCCAATCGTTTGCATAAAGTTTTAACCTTATTTTTTAACCCAACCTTGTTTTTTTTACGCTATGTGAATCTCATTGGCAGAAATTACTTAGGGAAAACCCAATTTGCACAGATGAAAACATGTATACAGGAAGTTTTAAAAGAGTTGGAGAGTTTTATTAAAGGGATATGTAGAGTATATCATGTGGCTCTTTGCAGTAACACAGTAAAAATTATGGCTCTTAGCCTCTTGACTGGTTGGCCACCCCTGAGTTAGTTGGTATTTTAAAATTAAAGTCTATGTTGGTATGCACTTGGTAAGTTCCCCCCAAGGCCAGTAGTGGCACTGCAACCAAAACTTTAAGTTGCTTTAAAATTACATACGTTCATCTATGGTTTTAGCAACCAGAGGGTCACAAGTAGGAGAACGTTCAAGGTTTAAGTTCAAATATACAAACACACTCTGAGGATTAGTCAGGTGATTTTTGAACTATGGTGGTTCGAGGAGGCTCTACCTGAGAGTGCAGACACTGACTCAAGCATCTGCTGTCTTTTTCAGCAGTAGATGTGTGAAGGACAGGGCGAAGGCACATTTCCTTACCTTTGTCTAGAAACAAGCTCTGTTTACAATGTGTGCAAAAGCCTGGTGATCCGTGACATGGGGTTTGTTGTCGTTACAATACAAAAAAACAATGACGTCCAGTAGTGCTCAGCAGTGTGCAAATGAGACAGAATTACCAGTGTTGCAGATCACAAAGAGTAAATCTGGGTGAAAAGGCAGTTTAAGACGGTCGTTAATGCATTGGTTCCCATTTGATGGTGATTTTTGCAATGGTCAGCATGTTTTTGATTGCCGTAAACTACACAGATAGTGGTGTTGTATGTAAACGATGACTGAACCTGACTGATCTCTGATTTAATTAGAATGTCTGAGTGTAGAAACGCCCTCATGAATGCACAAGTGTGGGACTCTGTTAATGGTTGTGTGTTTTTTATGAGTGCAGGTTAGAGCAGTGACATCGAAGGGGGCGTGTGTTGGGTGACTTTAAACGCGTGCCTCAAGGGCATCATGGCTCCGTCCTGGCAGTCTCACCTGTCTTCTGTGCTCTCCACCTTTCAGCAGGTGTTAATATGAGCGGAGACCAGGCGATTGTCTTAGTCGAACATGTTCATCATCACAACATTGTGAAGTTATCGCTTCACATTAATCAAAGTGTCTAACAATTGGTCGGGAATTAAATATGTCGTTTTAAATACTTATTGCGTATTTAACACAAGGTCATGTGATCTACTCTTCGTATATTACTATTCCCAGCACTGCATGGTGTTATTTTCACTGTCCACTGTGACCTCATCATGATTCACTACTTCTGAATCAGCAAACAAGAAGAAGTCATGTTCTTACCAGTGTGAGTGTCAGGTTGTCTTACTGTAAAAAAAAAAAGGTTTTGCACAGCCACAACCTAAATGGACAATTACGAAAGGGAGCCATCATTGGAGTGTCAGTTTGAATCCCAGGAGAGTTGGGGCTGTGATGTGTTAGCCAAGCTCTTCCCTGGGGTCGGGGAGCGGTGGCTGCCTACTGATCCTGTGTTTTCAGAGTTGGTCACTCTGATGTTTTACGAATGGGTTAAAGTCAGATTGCTTTCAGAGCCCTACTGGCCAACAGTAGTAATGCAGGCGATGGCTTAAAAATGTCTTATTTTTTATTAACTATCCAAGACCATGGTTTAATAATGACTTTTGTTTTAACCTGTAATTTGGCAGACAAAATATTTTATTTAAACCAACTGGTAAGTGTGGATTTAGTTTCTCCGCACAGAAGTCACCTTGTCCCTGCACCTTTCCCCATCTTCCTCTTCCTGTGTTGGAGTCCAGCCCCCTTTTCCCTCTGTATTGCTTCCTTTCCTGCTGCACCTTCAGCGCCTGCTTACAGAGGCAGAGCCATGCTGGCTCCATCACGTGAGACTGAGGCCACACTGACCTCTGGAGGTTAGAGCAAGGTGAGATGCGTAAGTCTACTACTGTGTACATTATAGCTTTCCTCTGCAAGGCCATCCCATAAAAGGTGTGGAGTAAATCATTCTCCCTCCCTCTCTCTTACAGAGATCACCTGAGCACAACACCAGGAAGTAAGAAATGTCCTACAGTGTCCTTTAAACGCTCACCTTCAACTTTAGACTGTTAAAGCAGGGAATGTATTCACTGAAAACCATACCAAAAAGAGAGGATCAGCAGAGTGGCTTATCTGTATGCAGAGACACACTTTACTGCTCTGAGATCTGTCTGCACCCACACACCCACTCCTTTATATTCTTTTAATAACATCATAAGCGTGAAGTGTTATCAGCCGCAACAAAACATTTCCAGGGATAAGAACGAAGACGTCCAGATGGACACTGAAAGGACAGGGAGTGTCAGATTGCAGCGTTTGCAGCAGACGCAGGCTGTGTCCTCCAGATGTCACCGTTGATGGAAAAGTACCATCACAGCCAGTGGAGCCTCACATCTTTCCCTGGGAGAAAGGATTATACCATTAGCCTTTCATTCTCTCTCTCTCTCTCTCACACACACACACACACAAACACAGCCTCCTGCATGCACCTGTTCCCGTCTGGCTGAATAAATAATTGCTGACAGTGACATTATTTTTTTAGCTCGGATTGTGCGCGCAGGGGATGAGCTCACTGCTTGTCACTATCCCACATGTACACTGTGATGTAACAACAGCCAGTCACGATATATCATTACTCCCCCAACTACGCATAGAGAACCTTGTCATTGAAAAGATGGCTGCGTCTGTTTAGAATGTACAGACGCATGACATACTCACATACCTCAAATTAAAATATGAAAATCTCCTTAAACAAACAGGAATATTCACAAGTGGTATTCACACCAGAAGAAAACTATTTGATGAGACAGATCCTGTTGTATATATATATATATATATATATATATATAATATACAATACATTGATGGATGGAGGCGGTTTGTGCTCTTGGCTAACTGCAAGAAAGAAAAAAAAAGGTTCAATCCCTTGTGGGACCAGAGCATATTTTGTGTTTTGTAAAACAGATCATGTAGTTCCCCTTTTCGTCTTTTAAAGCACCTGAAAACCCTCACGCCCAAAAAAAAGGGCACAACATTAGTCTGTCATCTTTAAAGCTATGCTAAGCTAAAACAACCCAGATTATCCCACCATTATTGTTTCTTCTTCAGGCTTTAGGGGCAGCACTGCGTCCTTTAAGCACTTGTTTCAACTTCATTTCCAAGATGACTTGCAAATAAAGGAAAAGCAAGAAAACTTGTGACTAATTCATAAATACATTTAAAATCATACGTATCAATGTTTTTAAACACGTTGTTTGAAAGTGCTGCACACAAAAAATCCTTAATTAATTTTCCACTGCCCCTCCTCATCTCTGAGGGAGATTAATTGTTTTATTTAGAACAATAACGTGAAAAGTTGTTTACTCGTTGGGTAAATAATTAGATGTTGTGTTCGGTTGTGATCATTCATGAAGAACACGGGACCGCGACCTTCTTCAAGTCGTGATGGATGAGGTTCATACATTTGCAGCACAAAGTCATCCACTGACGAACAACATGTACAGTAGGTGTGCACCAGCAAAGACAGCACATCTGCCACCAGAGACCGCCAAACCACAATGCACGTATCTTGGAGGTAGGACAGAACGGCACCGCATGATAAATTAGATCTGAAATCTGCAGAGGATGCATTTCTATGGTTACCTGTACCGGTTTTTAACATCTATAAATAAATTCACAGGCGGACAAGAAACGAAGCATTGAAACAACGCACCACCTCGGTCCACAGCTGTATCATCAATTAAATACATTTTATTAATTTAACAAATGTTTAATCTCGATTTAAAAAATGTATATTTATATTCAAATGTTAATATATTAACGTTGATATATATTAATTTATAAGCAAGGAATACATATTTTCAATATCGTGAAGGTGAAAATGTAAGTGCATGATTTGCCTTTATCAAATCCACGCAAAACGACACGTTCATGGAAAATTCCACGTAAAAAAGAGTCGTTCGAACGCAGTTTAGTCTCTCGACGTTTACACCTATAGGTGGCGGTAATGCGCAGTTCAACTGTTACAGCCAGCAAAGCTACAATACGACAGAAGGAGTAGTAGCATCTGTGAAGGCTGGAGGGGAATTAAATGTAGATTTGACAAGAATTTCACTAGAATCAACGGTGTTAGGGGTGCAGACATGGACGTAGTTCTATACGTGACCGCTGCTGCTCTGCTCTCTGTGCTCATTGTATTTGTCCTCAGGGTGCGGAGAAAAACACAAGAGGGTAAGACCACACTGCTAGTAAACTATGCTAACTGTTAGCAATAGTTTATAGCAAGCGCTGGCTTTAACGTAGCATGGCTTTAACGTAGCATCGATACACAAGACTAGAAAAACATCAACGTGCGGTTTGGTTTTAATTCAGGACATTGGGACATACACATGTCAACTGCAAACAGCATAGTGTTTAAAAAGTTGTGTAATTTTAATGTTGCGACTTCAGACTACGTCAGCTTACGGGCTGTCAAACACATACGGAAACTGCGATAGGACAACTTGAGGAACCGCGAGTAATTGATGTATTTTTATTGCCGGAGTTGAAAATAGAAACATTTTTACAATAACGACCAAAACTCTCAAAAACATTATCTTCAGAAAATCAAAAAATCCGTTTATAAAATGTCAATTACTATTTTACCTCGCTGGGTCTAGCTTTAGCTCTCATTTACTCTGCATATGATTAAGGAGCTGTAGATAATGAATGGAAGTGTAAAAAATATCAAACTAAACTCATCTAAATTTTAAACTCAAATATTTTAATAATAATACCCGCTAATATAAAATTAGCTGGTACATAATTATGTGAACATTTTGGTTGGTTTGGTTTCATAATTTAAAACTTTTGTAAATTACCTATTGGATATATAAAAAAGCAAATACAGGAAATTTTGCATACAATACTCGCTACATTAAATTATTCAAAAGAAATGTTGCTTTTCAAGTTTATATACTGGATTTGTAAATTTATGATATGTATACCTGTTGTTTGCTCAGCTGACGAAGAGCAGCAGCGTGATGTTGTACGGGCAGCTGGACCTCCACAGTCGGTGGCTGAGGAGCGAGGAGCAGGTATGCCTCGCCGGCGGAGGAACCTCGCTGCAGTGATGGCCAACAGACGACAGCAGAGAGAAGTCGTGGAGCAGGGTAAATGCTGTCAGATGTTTTTATTTCAACATGACACTGTGAGAGATTTAAGCATTTTTTAGGGATGGCCGATAATATCGGCCTACCGATATATCAGCCTATGTTAGGATAATTGTGTAATATTTGTAAGGATCTCTATTGTTTTTTCCTCTGATAATGAAAACCCATAACGCAATAGGATTTGGCAAATGACGTAAAAATAGGTTTTTGGATAAATGGCAGCATTGCAGCTCATTTTATTAATCTTTTTTTAATAATCATGGTATTGTATGCAGAATGCTGCTGCCAGCAACACCATACAGCGGTTTCTACAGATAAACAAATATTACCAGACCTATATCGTTATCAGTTGATATCGAAATCGGAAAATAAGTGTTTGGAAAATATCAGCATATCGGATATGGGCAAAAAGTTAATATTGGACATCCCCAATTTTCTTATTGTGGTAGTATGATTTTTATTTTTTTTGCTCTTTCAGTTTGTCAGTCCATTAAAATATCACCAAGGAAATGTGGGTTTTCTTTTCAGAAGAAGAAGAAGAAGAAGAAGAGGATGTTGTTGAGGAAGATGAGCTGCAGCTGCAGATGCCAGTGAAGATTGGAGTAAAAAAGCAAAGGAAGCTGGAGGAGAAACAGGCCAAAAAAGCTCAGAGAGAGGTGAGCTCCATTTCTGAGCAATCATGATAAGAATAAATAGGAATTGTTGTTTGTAATGTGGGCATAAATGTTATTATTATATATGTATATAATCATTTCCAGGCAGAAATGGAGGAGCGGGAGGAGAGGAAAAGGATGCAGGAGCTCAGGGAGCAGGAAAGACGACAGGAAGAAGAGAAGGAGCGGCTGATGGAACAGAAACAGGTGAGTGATGACTACTGACTGATTTCAGCAGGCACTGTATGTGCCTCACGTGGTTTTATTGTGCTACAAAAAGGACAAGGGCTTAAAAGGTCCAATATTCTAGTACCATTTCAAATCAGCAACATGAGCCCCACGTGTAAAATCCCGAAGCACTGATTGGATTGGCCATCTGTGAATGTTGAGGAGCGTTAACAAAAACAAGACAAATGATATAGGCTGCATAAGCTCTCAGAACACATTCTATTAGGGAATATGTTCTGGCTGAATGACCTCTTAAGACCAACACAGTTAAGAGCCAGGGGTTTGTTCATTAAAACTGTAGACATCCCGCTGTAAACCCACTTTGGTCCAACTGTAGCCCACTCTGGTCCGACTTTAAAGCTTAGTCTAATTTCTAAAGTTAAATCAGATGGTTGGTTTTAAGGTCTATTCTGAGTCCACTTAGTTCCAGTATGGTCTAACATATAGAGACTATCATTTCCTACATTAGATCCAGATGAAATCCACATCTAGCCCAATGCATATTCAAGAGGTTAAATGTTTTGCTGCTGCTGTTTGTCACAGGAGGAGGAGGAACGCCGAGCCAAGGAGGAGCAGGAGCGGAGGGAGGAGGAGGAGTACTTAAAACTTAAAGCATCTTTTGTTGTGGAGGACCAGGGAGAGGAGGAGCAACTCTCTGAGGACCAGGTCAGACCTAATTCTTGTGAATTTTAGACCTAGTTCTAATCATGAATGTCATGTATCATTTTGTCTTTTTTTTTTATACTTGCAGTCACGCAACCTCCTTCAGGAATTCATCCAGTACATTGAGGTAAGACTAGCTACAGTTCAGATTTCTGGATGTGGGATTTTATGAGACACTGATGCTGATGGATTGTTGTAAATGCTGCTATCACAGACAAAGACAAGAATATGAACAACCACTGTCATGTCCTACAGAGCTCTAAGGTAGTTCTCCTTGAAGACCTGGCATCTCAGTTTGGGATGAGGACCCAGGACGCAATCACCAGACTTCAGGACCTGTTGGCTGAAGGTTCCCTTACAGGTAGGTATGAGCAAACCAGATGTTGTTAAAGTCAGACTTGTGAATAATCAAGTGGATAGCTGTGTATCTTTTCACTGTGTGACTGTATTTTTTTGTGGGTTTATTTTGTGCAGGAGTGATCGATGACAGAGGCAAGTTTATCTCCATCACTCCAGAGGAGCTGGACTCAGTGGCTCAGTTCATTAGAAGAAGAGGCAGAGTGTCCATCACAGAGCTGGCTCAGGCCAGCAATACTCTCATCAACCTGGTACCTGAGAACCGCAGCGCCGCCTAATGGACAGACAGCGTACTACAGCTTCAACAGAATGATGTGAGAGATCAAGCTTCGCTAAATGCTTCATGAACCATACTGTCAGCTAATAGTTGACACATGGCAACTTAAATCAGTGGTGATGTTTTCATGTAAATCAGATTTTACACAGCTCATGTCTAAATATAAATTATAATGAATTAATCAATTTATAATTGATATAAATTATTTAACAAAGCATAAACTCCTGTTTGTCATTCATGGTTTTGTTTCATCTTCTTCAGGTTTATATAGTTGTATGCATTGTTCACTGCATGATGTCCTTTTATTAAATGTTTCCAGAAAAGTCTAGTCTTTCCCTTCTTCCATGACAGTCGCCTCCATACAGCAGCACCGTCTCATGGGGATTTAATTTCTATCCGTTGAGCTGCAGCCATGGTCTGAACTCTGTCTCATTGTGAGTTGATGTGTATCAACTGTTTATTGGAGCAACAACAAGTGGGCAGATGTTGGTATTATTAGTTATACAGTGTATGACACCCCTGTGTAAAAACTTTAATCTAATGAATAAAAAGAAAATGTCAATTCAATATTGACAGCTTGTGAACTATAAGAGAATATTATTAATCATATTGTCTTTATTATGTGATTTTTAGGAGTCATTCCCCAAGAGGATTTCACATCACAGGATACCCATAATAATTATCACATAATATAATGCTATCTTGCATTTTATATACGGTGGTATTTTTTTCTCTAAAATACAGCCACAAAATAAAACATTTATTTACAATTTTATTAACAAATATCACAAGGAAGGTAGTTTAAAGGGATATTTTATGTTTGAAAAACAGCTCAGTATCTGGTCAGCATCTGGTCTTGACACACATCATCCAACACATCTTCACTCTACCTGCACTTTCTCCTTTACCTCATTTGTAGATGGTTCACTGCTGTGGATGGTTGGGTGTTAGGTACTTAGTCATTGTCCAAAAAAAAAGGCTTCCTCCACAGAAATCAAGTGATGGAATCAACACTGTTCACTGGATTCATTAAAAACCACATTCACAACAGTTTGTATCCAATTCAGACTTCAGCTTGACTTCAACTTCAGACTGTCATGATCGCTCTGTGATCTCTGACTTGGTTTTCCCTCAGTTATCTCCCACGTTGAGATGGCTCCTCTGTCCTGAAATAATTAAACTGATAAGGTCACCTTTGATTTCTGTTTGGTGTAGTAATTTAAAAAAGAAGATACCTTTATCAAAATGCCTAATGGTGCCAGGTCGTTTCTGAGAGTGTCACAGGCTTTGAGGAGAGGATTCCTGAGAGATGCTGTTGCTGTGTCCTTGCGATGTGAGAGTGCTAGTGATCGAACTTCACTTCGGAAATGAGCAAGCTGCTCCACGATGCCCTGCAGATTGGCACTGGTGCCCTGTACCTCAGTCTGCTGTACGAGTTCACATGTAGAAAAATAAAAACCAAAGATTGTGTTAACTGGTAATTGAGACAAAAACAAAACTTCTACTTCATTACCTGTTACTGACCTTGCCACGTAGCAGATCGACTCCAAACACATCTAAGACCTCTCTTATGTAACTGACCATGGCCCCGAAAACTGCAGGGCTGCGAGCTGTGCTGTCACACTGACCACACACACACAATGACATGTCAGCGTTACTATCAAGGTATCCTTAGTGTAATTCTTTTTTTGCACAGCAAAACATGAACTTACAGTAGAAACTGGCTGCAGCTGGCAGTTTCCCTGATAAACTAGATTCATCACAGCACCCATGGCTCTGGGGGTGTCAAAGTCATCTGCCAGAGCTTTCAGGACTTTGGACTTAGTCTCAGCCAAACTGAAGAAACACAAGTTCTCTGTATCAACTAAAACAAATCCATCTGTCCACTGGGAGTGTGCTGGGATTTGCACCTACCGCCAACATGACTATTAATATAAAACATTGTGGAAGATAAAAAGAAAAAGCCTCTGCATTGTTGATTTATGATGTGGAAACAGCACAGGAAGCTCCTACCTTTCCCAGAGAAGAGTTTCCTTCACAGGGGAACACTGCAGCTGCCCTTTTATGTAGGCCTGAGCGTCATGGATAAAGGTGGTGATGGTTCCCAGTGAGGTCCGAGCCTCCATCATGCTGCTGTCACTGTAGTCTATAGCTGTGAAGGCCGCACAAAAAGTCAGTACCTCTCAACACCTCTCAGTACCTGATGAAACACATTAATTATCATCACATGTTCAAGAATTATAAAATTATTTTTACCTGACCTGTACTTGGTCAAAAGACAGAACATGCGGAATTCATTTGCAGAATATGACTGCAAGAAATCCTGATACAAAGACAAAAATGGACACTTTGATGAAACTTCTACTGAAGTTGCACATCTAATGTGAAAGATGCAGAGATTTATTATATACTTTAATTGTGATGTAGTTCTTTAAAGACTTGGACATTTTCTCAGTGCTGCCTTTGAGGTGCAGGTGTCCTGTGAAAAAAGGCAAAAAGGTTCAGCTAATAAATATATATACATATGTATGTATATGTGTGTGTGTGTGCAAAGTTTCAAAACAAGGTCCAACATGTGCTGGTGAATTCACCTGAGTGGAGGAAATAGTGACCCCACTGGTCACACTGGTGAAAGGCTTCACTCTGAGCCACCTCGTTCTCGTGGTGAGGAAAGGCTAGGTCAATGCCTCCTGAGTGGATGTCCAGCTGATCACCAAATACACAGCTAACAACAGCACAGTTTATTGTAAGCATTTTATCAAACAAAAATAACACTCTGAAATGCCAATTATGTACAATACTGTAAAGTTTATGGTATTTTGTGGCACTAAATTCACTAATTTGTAAAACACTAGTTTAGTCAGTTCCCCTACATCAACCATTGCAGAGGTTTCATATAGTCAGAGTTTTTTTTCCTCTCCTCTCTTGGTTTACACACTCAAGGTAATAAACTTTCAAATTTAAACAAGTCACTCTATAAGACCTTTTAACATTGATCTTCAAGTGCAGTTAACATAAAGCTAATGGAAGCACAAAGTGTTGTGAGTACAAACCTGGCAATGGTAGAGCATTCGATATGCCAGCCTGGTCTTCCTCTGCCCCATGGAGAGTCCCAGTATGGTTCTTGAGGTTTGGAAGGTTTCCACAGAGCAAAATCCCTTGGATCACGTTTGTTCGAGACTCCTGTGGAAAAGGTTCAGAACAAGCAGTGCCAGAAATCAAAAATATGCTTCAGAAAAAAATAAATGATATCTAGAGAAAAACCAACCTGCCTTTTCTTCAAAGAGTTTGGTGTTGAATATATATTATATAATATATACAGTCCATAATACAGCCTGATCATAAAAACACTCACCCAAATTGTACCTATATCTTTTATATCACTCTATCTCTCGGTGAAGGTCAGAGACCAAAACTTACAGAGCATCTAAAATTCAGTACTGAGGTACAGTCTCAGAAGTAATTTCACTCTTTTTGCTTCAGAAAAAAATAAATGATATCTAAAGAAAAACCAAAGCTGTCTATGAGCTGAAGTTGTATTTCTGTTAAACTCTGCCACGGTATATCACAACTCTGCGTTGGATACCCCAAGGTTGATCCTCTTCCATTTCCCCAACTTTGCTTCCATTTATTTGTCAATAGTAATACTGTACTTTCTGTGCTAATTTGACTCACTTACCAACTTCTCCCTGCATCTCCACAGCTCCAACAAATTTGCCGTAACGATTCCCAATGGACTGAATGTCGAAAAAAACATCACCTATAACCAGAGTCAATCAACAACTGTGAACCAGTGGCAACGTTCGGCAACAGCCATTGGTTTATTTCTAAAAGGGCATATGGTTAATTTACCTTCTTTTGTAGCATATGCATGTCCATTTTTGATAATCCCTTCAATAAATGTAATTATACGTTTTATGTTCTCAGTGACTCTTAAATAAATCACAGGAGGGAGCACCTGACATGAAAAGGACACAAAGACACATTTATATAGATGATTATAAACCTCAATCTATAAAAAAGGGACTTTCACAAATGTTTTTATCACACAGACTAACCTTGAGGGACAACATGTCCTGCTTGAAATCCTCCTCATACATTCTGGCTATTATGGATGGAGATACATTCTCCTATGAAGAAAAAACAACCTTTGAATAAGCACTTATCAATGACTTTAATTACAAGTCAGGTGTTGAGAAGTATCTCATCTAATCTAGTCTAATCTAATTTCAACTAATCTATCCATTTGACATTGTGGTTTTCTCACCTCCCAGCTTCTTTTGATAATTTTGTCATCAATGTCAGTGATCACCATTGCGTGGATGACAGTGATCCCAAACAGCCGGGACAGAATCCTCTGCAGGATGTCAAACCTGACATAAGAACTGCGACAAGACACGCGCACACACGCGCGCGCACACACACTTATTTGTGATTACACATTTCAACAATACAGTTGTGACCAATTTGAATGTAATCGGTTCACAAATTTATATGACTTTAAAGATGTAGCAATGTAAGGTCAGTCAGCACACACATTCGACAAAAGACTGGGATCAATAATCTCGTAATTTTTGCACGGAACGGTCTTTGTGGGTGTGCGTGTGTGTGTTTACCATGCATGGCCCAGGTGGGCATGGTCGTACACAGTGGGTCCACAACTGTACCTGTGTAATAACAACAAAAGCATGTGCATGCGCTGCAACGTTAGCTATGTCGCTATTAAGGTAAATTTATACACATAATTTCTATGCAATAAATGTCATTTACCAAGTAGCTACTCCATCCCTGGCAAGAATAAGCGGCTCCTTCTGTTTAGTCAGGCTGTTAAAAGTCGTCAAACCCGTGTCAAAGCCGCTTGGTTTCAGCCAATTCTTTCCCGAAACACCACATTCGGTGCTATGAGGTCTGACACTACCAGCGTTTACTTTAAATGACCGAAAAATCCGGACTTTACCGGACACCGACCTCACAGAATGGCCCAGCATTGTGACACCTGACAGCACAACCAAGAGGCACCGCTACCCCGGAAACCCGTTTTGGTCTGCGCATGTGTACCATTGGGCCACTTCCTGTGTAAAATACTTTCCAATCAAATGTTACAAATATATATATATATATATATATATATATACATAAACATACAACACAACTTTTGCTTCAGCGGTCATAAAGAGTTGAATTTGGTGTTGATTGATAGTTTAAGAATTTATAAAATTTGGAAATTTGGACAACTAAAAAGGATATGCTATTTGGTGCAATTCTGCTTTTCATTTTTAATGTGCAACATGGAAGATTCTACGCAAATTCCGTCGTATTTTCTAACTGTAACACAACGGGAATGAAGACTATTCTTTTTTATATAAGATAATTGTTTTGTCCTCGATTGTATATATAATTAACGGTCGCATCTATTCACATTCTCGCGAGAGTCTATGTACCGGAAGTTTTTTGCAGGTCACATGATTCGCTCTCGTTGGCAGCCTGGTACACTTCCTTGCGAGTAGATATGGTTAGGTGTTTATTTTGACTGGGCGTGTTTTCTGTTTCTTTTTGAGAGGAAAGTGGAAGCTCTTGTTTTTTTTATTATTTCAATTCCACCGGAGACTACACAAGATGCAGAACGTCATAAACACAGTGAAAGGCACAGCGCTCGGTGTGGCGGAGTTCCTTACTCCTGTGCTGAAGGTAAAGTTAACGTGTCAGCGGCTAACGCTGTGGTAGTTGCCCACTGACATTTTCTACCACTGTGGTGTTTTCCTGCACTTTAATATATAATATCACATTATCACTTTCACCCCCGACTCCCCTCTTACTCACGTTTTGGTTTTAATCACAGGAATCCAAATTTAAAGAGACTGGAGTCATTACACCAGAAGAGGTGAGGGTGTTTCTTAAACCATGGATTGCGCCTCAGCGTTCGGTTTTTGAACTATGTTAGTTGTTGACAGGTAGAGGAGACTTGTTCAATGATTTGCCCAAGCTCCGCGTCTGTAATACTGTTTTTTTTATCTTATAAACTCTTCGAATGATTTTCGTATCCCATCATGTTAGTCAAATATATTATATTTTTTATCAGGGGCTGCTTTGTTAACGGTTGCATACATTGCTAACTTTAAGACATTTTTACAATACCTGATGGTTTTCTGTTTATATTTTTTTCTTTTATAGTTTTATTATGGCATACATTTGACTTCAGTAGTTTCTTCATACTTTTTGAATAGTTGTCACAACATTTTTATCGTGTTGTGGAACACCAAGCTGCTTTGCTTTCTTGTTGCTAATGTTCAGCTATCCTTATATTTTCTTTTTCAAACTTAAATCTACTTTGTAATATTTAAGCTCTTTTAGCCATTATTATAGCTAGCTGTCTTGTTACATTTTAAAACTATTTGTTGCAGTAATTGGATTGTAATCTTGAATGCTATTTTTTGTTAAATGCTGGTATCATTTTAAATGTTCATTTTTCTGTGTTGTAGTTTGTAGCAGCTGGAGATCACTTGGTCCACCATTGCCCAACGTGGAAATGGTGGGTGGTCGGTCACACAGATTTGTATAATAATAATAATAATATAATTAAGGTTCTGGGATCCTAGAGTTGATAGACTTCCTTAATCCTACTGTAATTCGTGGTTGAGTCAGGCAGTTACTATATTAACAGAACATTGGAAGGGAAATCAACTCCTGGTTGTAAACTTGTAATGTTTCTGATTCCAGGGCCCCTGGAGAAGAAGCCAAGGTGAAGCCATATTTGCCTGAGGACAAACAATTTCTCCTGACACGCAATGGTCAGTATTGATTGTACATTTTGATCATTGCTTACAAAATAAAAGAACAACATTTTGCTTCTTTGTCTTGAGCTTAATGTCTCTTATTCTGTTTGCTAACTGCGTGGATGTTGTTGTGCTGCTGCAGTTCCGTGTTACAAGCGCTGTAAACAAATGGAGTATTCAGACGAGCTGGAGGCCATAATTGAAGAGGACGATGGGGATGGAGGATGGGTCGACACGTACCACAATGCAGGTACGACCACAAGTCTTAATCCATCACAGATAAGGAAAATGTTGTTCATTACTTTTCAAGTATTACCTCATCCTTTTTACTGTTTCCTGTTTTTGTTGAGGAGACTTCAGTAACTTGAAATAGTTTTCATCATGTTGGTTCACTTGATCTTCCCTTTTTAGAAAAGGGGGAAGATCAAGGGAAAAGAGTTACTGAAAAAGATTTGTTTGTCTTCCACCATGAACCCTTGTCGTCAGTGCACTGCACAGATTTGAATAGAATTTCAGCAACAGCTTTGTGCAGGCCAGTTAACATCGTTCATCTTGGATTTCTATGGACGCTGTATTTCTTTCCTGATTTGGAAATGTGCTCTGAGTCATTGTTGTGCATGTAGGAAAAGCAGATGGATTAGAAGTGCCGCTCCTTTTTTCTCCAAATATGTGATTATTTGTGGTATTTGTTGTCAAAACGTTTTAAATCTCCACCTCTCCTGCAGAAGTGGAGGTTTCTTTTGTTTAAAACCTCACAGTTCCTTAAGGTGGAGGACTTCATCGCTTTATTTTCTGAACTTTAGCCTGAAACATAATAGTTTATGTTTAAGATTAATTGTAAGCTGTATCTGTGAAGTGTATTGAGTCACCCAAACATGTTTGCGTGTGTTTCACCAGGTGTGTTAGGAGTCACAGAGACTGTCAGAGAAATTTCACTCGATAATAGCAAGGTATGATTCATGTAGTTGTCAATTCGATCTTTGGATTTACAATTGATGTGTTGAGTCATCTACTGTGACTGTTTGTAAATGTCATCCTCAGGATAGGAACATGAACGCCACGTCTGCAGCATGTCACAATGCGGACGATGATGATGATGGTGATGAAGATGAAGATGGAGAAGCAGCAGACATGGAAGGTATTTCCCTCCAAGGTCGTACAGTGGGGCTTCGAGATACGAGTTTAATCCGTTCCACAATAGCAATTGTATGTCGATCCGCTCGTATCTCGATTGCATTTTTCCCATTTAAAAAAACTTAAAACCAATTAAGTTGTTCCAGCCCCCCAGAAATATACTATTAATTAATTTAATTAAAATTCCTCCACCTTTTAAAACATTAAAAACATAGATATAAACAAATATATTGATAATATATAATAATAATTAAGAGAGAGAGAGGGAAAAAGCGATGGGTAAAATGACCAAGCGAGGGATAGTGAGCGCAACAGCGTGACAGATGCTTCCTTGTATCAAGAGGAAACATCTCGCAACTGTTGATTACCTGTAACTTGAGAAACTCGTATCTGGAGGCCCCACTGTATAAAACATTAAATTTTCAACAAGGTGACTTATTTCATCCTCAACATCTTTTCCTTTTAGAATATGAGGAAAGTGGCCTATTGGAAACAGACGAGGTAAATGGAGCACAGTTTTATCACTTGTTTTGTCATTTCCAATAATAGTTATAATGACGTTGACTATGACTTTCTGCTGTCTGTAGGCCACTCTGGACACCAGTAAAATGGTAGAAACTAAAGCCAAAGCAGAGCCTGGCAGTGAGGACCTCATCCTTCAGACCAGAACATATGACCTATACATTACATACGACAAATACTACCAGACCCCCCGACTCTGGCTTTTTGGATACGACGAAGTATGTTCATTTCTTTACCACTGGAAACAGGCCGGGGCTACATTCGTCTAAATTCTCATTATTGCTGATTGATAAAAGCGAAATACGTTGTCATCTTCAACTTTCTACCGTTAAGCTGAAGGTTGAAATAGGAAAGTTATCTTGTATTTGTATGTCTTTCCTTCAACTTCAAAGCCCCAATTGTAACTAAAAAAGATTGAATGAACCTTAGTTCAGAAATTGTAACCACTTTTTTTTAATAACTTTGACCTTTTTCATCACAGTTTTAAATAGGCTTACATATGTAATTTATTTATTGAAGTTTTTTAAAATAGCTGCGGTGTTTCCCAGGACCGACAACCACTGACAGTAGAACAGATGTATGAAGACATCAGCCAGGACCATGTGAAGAAAACTGTCACCATAGAGAACCACCCTCACCTTCCTCCACCTGCCATGTGCTCTGTTCACCCCTGCAGGTCAGTAATATTAACTACACCATAGTTGTTGTAGATTTTGTTGATTCTAATAACTCTAATTCTAATGCCTCCACAGATATTTTTCTCTCCACTTGAATTCTAATATTGCATTTTTAAGTTAAATGTCCTCCCATCCACAAAAGGCCTTAAGAGATGATCACAGATTATTTTTGGCCATGATAATAATTCCATCATTTTGATTATTCACAAATAAAGCAGGTGTAAAAGATGCGCTGGTATTTGTCCTTCTAGATTTAATTATCTGTATTATCTTGATTAAACATGATTACTCATGGTCAATTACAATCACAATCAATGTTCGTCATTAATCCAAATCCCCCATGGATGAACCAGATTAGGAATTTTAATTGATTGACTGCCCTAGTTTTTGTCCTTCAATTTCAGACATGCTGAAGTGATGAAGAAGATCATAGAGACTGTGGCAGAAGGTGGAGGAGAGCTGGGTGTCCATATGTATCCTTTTATTGGAATAACCTATGACCTAGGTGAAAGGTGAAGGTTCGGTCTCTTTTGATTCTGATGGAATTTGTATTAGTTGTCTTAAAAAAAAAAAAAGTTTGAGCCCCATTTCCAAAAACAATTGCTTTTATAAATTTTGGCTTTTCCATTTTACCCTTAACTGTGACGTTCAGGTACCTCCTCATTTTCCTCAAGTTTGTTCAGGCGGTCATTCCCACAATAGAATATGACTACACGCGACACTTTACCATGTAGCTTCAACAGTCTGTGTATAAATTCTGCACAAATCTGGGGGAAGAGGTTGGACGAGGGACGTTTGTATCCAATCTGTTTAAACTGCAGCCAGTGTGTGTGGAGTGTTTGTGTTTCCCTGAGACTCACTCTTTGTGCAGGACATGAGCAGGACATGAGGAATGTCAGAGGGTATGTGACCCTTTACACTTAACATTTAGGACACATATTTGGCTCTCATGAAAATTAATTTCACATAGCAATTCACATATTTCCCCTTATATTCACACACAACGATGTTTTCATGTAGACAAGGCTGCATCCCATTTATATGACGTCTTAACTTGTCTTGTAAGTTTCAACAGCAAATGGATCTGTAAGTGTCTAGAGAATGACTAATGGTAGAATTGACTCCAGAGCATGCAGCCCCCAACATATAGTCAGTGTTTTATTTTGAAGGGCCACAAAAGGTAAAATAAATTGTTTCAGGTCTTTCCAGGAATCCAGAGATTTAAAAATATCCTTAAGGTGGAATGTTCAGATCTATTTACTGTCACGTAAGTGTTTATCAATAAAAAACATGCAGCAACCCTCTCCCGCTCTAGTGCAGCCCCCAAAAGAAGGCATTTTGTTGTTTACTGTTAGCAGGGGATGCTAGATGATCATAGGCAGACGAATCAGTACATGAAGGCTTAGGCCTACAATTCATGCAAATTGTCATCATTCAATCATTCATCTAATGCTTAACAGCATTCTTTAGGTTGTATTAATGCCACCTACAATACTAAATCGACTAACATTGTAATGCGTTAAAGGAGAATGAAGAAATTACAGCAAGCAGGGTTGGTTCTGTGTTTCAATGTTTTCTTTCTTTTCCTGAAAATTCTTGTAGGTCTACCTTTAAGTTGCGTAAAGAAGAAAATAAATCATGAATAGACATTTATTGGCTGAAAAAAATCAGGCCTCATCTGCCCTGCCCTGTACAGATTTGATTCTGGTAAAATATTAGGAAATGGTTTTCGTTCATGTATATGCTAACTATGAAAGTTCACCATGATAATCGTAACATTTTTGTTTTTATGTTGACAGAGTCACAGTCCATCCCTTTAAAACAATATTGTTCATTTTCTTGCTGAACCCCATAATAATAAATAAATTATCTCTTAATTTCTGGATTGTTATTCATTCTTTTAATGTCTTCACCCTTCTTTTATTCACTCTTGGTTCTGCTTGTCCACATAGCTCTCTGTGTTCTGCTCCCTGAGCGGCAGAGACTTTTTCAACCTGCACAAGAGTGACGTTATCACTACGTATGTTTACTCTCCAGATGAATTATGTTCATGGTTTTGTGTGACCTCAGACGTGCAGCACTTCGACAGAATAATCAGATTTTGTCTTACGTGACAGTGATGTAACTCAACCTAAACACTCTGAGCTTCTGTTGTTCCTGCTTTGGTTTCCTTGTTGTCTGTTGGTTGGATGAAGTGTTTTCTCTGTGCTGCCTGCTGCTGCTCCAGTATCCTGATGTAACAATCTCAGTGGAACATTATGAACTAATGCACATTTATCAATAAAGAGTTTCTCAAATATTATAAACAAAGCTTTTCTGTGTCAGTCATCATTTTAAAAGGTTTTCAGATTGATTGTGTCTCAGTAAACTTTGGCCAAGCGTTTTTTTTTTAAATTTTTGCATTCTAAATAAAATAATTCAGTTTGAAATATAAAATATATATTGGGGTAGGCGCTTTATCAAACCTAGGTTAACTTGGTCGTTTGTCCAACTGCTGCTGCTGCACATGTAGACCAGTAAGTGGCGGCAGTTCATCACACGAACTAAGAAAAAGCAGCATTGGTGTTTTTAGGAGGTGTCGAGATTAAAAATTAGGTTTTTAAAAAGATTTTAATTTACAATGAAAAGCACATTTTAGAAATACACAAACATTGCTGTAGTTTTATTCATACGAGCATTAAGTATTCACGGTTTTAAATGCACCCTTATTTAGTTGTTTAAACTCGGAGCATCATTGGTAGCGCAGGCTTTTCCCGTACAGGAAACGGAAGGAGGTGGGACTGTTAGGCACATGCGCAGAACAGATATTATAGTGACAGCTTCAGTACTAGCGGAGGTCGAGTAGGTTCTGTTGTAAAGACTACAAACCCAACATGTCTGTACTTTATCCTACTCTTCTGCTATGTGTCTACGGTTTTTTCTCCAACATGCGACCGGCGGAACCTTTCCTGACCGCCTTCTTGATGGGGCCCGACAAAAACTTGACGGAAATCCAGGTTAACTTTTACTCATTTGACTCATTGAGGCTGTCACGTGTTTTACATTTACTTTTAATTTACTCAAATACTTTTATTTTTTTCAAATGTCAACAAAATGTTATTTTAATGTTGGATTTTAATTTTATTTATGTAGTTTCACAGTCCGAAAGTTAAAGCATGCAACTGCATGCACTGCAGTTGGACTGTCTTCTCCTAAGTTAGCACAGTACATACAGTCGAAATAAATGTTGTTCCCTTAAGTTGTTAAAAACAAAGTTTACTCGATATGTCCAGTTTAAAAGGACACACGTTACAAACATACACCCACAAAATCAGGCCAGGCAACAAATGCACTTGTTATATTCAATGGACATTCACTAATTGCAAGAGCTTAATATACTGTTGTTTTTATGGGAAAGATGCTAGCCTTCCATTTATCATCTATTTTTATTTGCATTATCATATTATGCACTGTAGGACTGGTAAATCTGACAAGAATAGCAGATACTTAAATTACATTGAAAAGTATGTATATGTGTTTTGAGCATGTTAGGGACAAAATCAGAGTTTTAAGAATCTTAACCTATGGTTTTACTTTTGTTCACACAAAACAGAGAAAAGAAGGGGAACAATTCAGTCTTTCTGTGATTAAATATCTTTGCCCTCTCCTCCAACTTAACAAAAAAAAAAAAAAAACCTGCCGGTCCACTTTCACTGAAGTCAGATTTTAATAACCTTTCTCCCAACTCATATTTCTCAGCAGCTGTTTGTGTTAGACTCCATAACGCCACATGACTTGTTGGCACAGAGGTGTTTGGTGGTAATTCTAGTTCCTCGTTGCATCATCACAGGGGCCCCTGATGTTCACTGTTTAACACACATTACTTTCTCTGTTTCCTCATTATTTTCTACTTATCCTGGCCATTGTTTAAAATCCAGTCTCTGTACACATTGCTGCAGGTGGTGAGTGAAATCTACCCAATATGGACATACTCCTACCTCATGCTGCTCTTTCCAGTTTTCCTGGCCACTGACTACCTCTGCTATAAGCCTGTGTTGGTCGTGCAGGCCACCAGTTTAGTAGTTACCTACATCATGCTGCTGAAGGCACAAGGCCTGTTGGCCATGCAGTTTCTGGAGTTTTTCTTCGGCCTGGCCACAGCCTCAGAGGTGGCGTATTACTCGTACATCTACAGCGTGGTAGAGCCAGAGCACTACCAGAGAGTGACGAGCTACTGTCGCAGCATCGCTCTGTTTGGATCTGCTGCTGGATCTTTGATGGGACAGCTTCTTCTCTCTGTGGCCAAAGCTGAACTGCTTTATCTCGTCATAGTCACTCTGACGTCAGCTGCTGCAGCCTTTGTGGCTCCGTGGTTTCTGCCAATGCCTAAAAGAAGCTTGTTCTTCCACCAAAGCCCTGGAGCAGCCAAAGAGGAGACGGGAGATGAAGAGAGTAAAGTGCCGTTAAAAATTCACAATGTGAAAACAGTGAGTGCTGAGCTTTTGATATTGAATCCAGATGAAGATTATGATCATATTATATTTAAATAAGAGAAAAGGAAATGATTGAGTTTGCAACCTCTGCTCTTCATGCAGGTATCAACACCTTCAGAGGCAGAAACCTCAAGTGGCCTTGTGAAGGTATTGCAAATGCTGTTTGAAGACTTTGTCCAGTGCTACAGGTGCCGCCCGCTATTGGCCTGGTCACTGTGGTGGGCTCTGGCTACATGTGGATACTTTCAAGTCATCAATTATACTCAAGCACTGTGGGAAAACATCAGACCATCCAAGGATCACGAAATCTTTAACGGTTATGTGGAGGCACTGTCCACACTGCTGGGTAGGGGAGCCTGCTGGAGGGGTGAAATAAAAGAAAAAATCAGTCAGATTTCAAGAGCTGAAGCGACTGTACTTAAGCTGAGTTTGAAGCACATAGATACAAATGTATAAAATGCATTTCTAACCACAACTGTTGCCAACAGGGGCTCTGGCAGCTCTGCTGGTGGGCTACCTCCCTGTATGTTGGGCTGTGTGGGGAGAGCTGGCTCTGTGTGTCCTCTCCTTGCTCATGGCTACGTGTGTGTTTATCATGGACACACTGAGTAACATCTGGCTGTGTTACAGCTCGTACGTCATCTTCAGAGCCATCTACATGCTGCTTATCACAGTTGCCACGTAAGAAGGAGAAGTTGGTCCAGACTGATCTTAAATGTCATTGTATAAAGTACAGCTAATTATGGAAAAACCAAATATTGTTCTCTGACCTCTCAGGTTCCAGATTGCAGCCAATCTCAACATGCAGCGATATGCTCTGGTGTTTGGAGTGAACACCTTCATGGCTCTAGTACTGCAGACTCTTCTCACAGTGGTGGTAGTGGACTCAGCAGGCCTTGGACTTGATGTCTTCACTCAGGTGAGGCTGTGTGTTGATCTCTACTGTTTTAACATGTTCTTTTTAGTGAGAAACACTGGAGTATTATTTTGTCCAAAGGTTGGCAACTGGAAGGGGTTAGGTTTTTTTTTAGGTGTTTATCCACATTTACATTAATGCATTTAGCAGACACTTTTATCCAAAGCGACTCACAGAGTAGTATCAACATTAGGGTTAACATTATCAAGCATGTGGTTCCTCTGGGAATCAAACCCAGGACTTTGCTCTCAGGCAGGCGTGTTAACCGCTACACTATGGAACCACCACACTCTTTTTGTGTACTCTTATCAGAGTGCACTCATCCATGACCACTGTCCTTATCTGATTATCACTCAAATAAAAATTTCAACAAAACAGGGTACAGGGGCTCCTTGACTTTTGTCATAGTTCTACACTGCAATATATCTCGATGTCCACCGTATGTCGGACCTCACATACTGTTCATCAGTACCTAAGCCACTCTCCTACACTAACAAGAGAGTGTTAACATCATAATGTCGGACATAGAAACATCAGAAGAGTCGTTATGTTTCATAAACCCACACAAACTAAAAAAAAAAGCCAATGCAACATTGCACAGCCTTTGAATGTTAACAAAGCCGTCTTCTGTATTCAGCACCGCACATGACATATTCTACAGCTTGCCAACTAGTTCCCCTGCAAATTATGTTTTAACACTGTATGTCAGAATGATGGAACAAGACTTTCTTAATAAATTCATGGGTGGAGAGAGAGAATTTATTATCTTTGTATTTGTCACATCAGTAAGAGGAAATATAGCCTTTGTCCCTCTCTTGACATTAGAACTATTTTTTTTTTAAAATTTGCCTTAGTTTCTCATCTACGGTGGCTACTTTGTGGTTATTTCCTCAATCTTCCTCCTCGCTGGACTATTGAGATTGGCCTCCAGTAGACGCTCCAAAACAGAAGTAGAATGGTCAGAACCCAACTCTCCTTCTGTTAGCGACTCAACTCCCTGCAGGTAAAGATGGGGGCACACAGAAGACGAAGAGAAGACTGTGAAGATGGCAACAGTGACTATTTGTCTGATTCTAATACTGTAGTTAAGCAATAATCGACCTCCAACTGACCATCAGAACTTTCTGAATTCAGATATTCAGTAGGATAAGAGTTTTCAAAGCAAAGTAAAATGATAGCATAGCACATTTGCTGCTGATTTGTCAATGTCTTGTTTTACTACATTCCAAATGTTTGGACAACAGTTTGATGTGGTTCAGTAGTCTGACACATTTGTAGTTTTAAGAACATCACTTCTTTTATTGACACAAAAAATGTCAATAAAAGACATTTTAGATCTATTCCATGTGCATGTAACCTAATGCATCTGGATGCTGCCGTGTGATTTGCAGGTTAGACATTTGCATTAACAAGTAGAACAGATGTTTCTAATGAAGTGGCTTTTGCATTTTTTAACATTTAGTTTGGTTTTGTTAAATCTTACAATGGTCTGAAATGGAACTTTTATGCGTAAGTAGATTTCACAACTTGTATTAAGCCAGTGTTGAACTCTGAACATCTCAAGCCCTTCCTCTCTTTAATGTCTGTAAGACATCTACCTGAAGATGCATCAGCTCTGGTGTGACTGTACAGATAGACGCTACTGCACTACTTCTTCTTGTTTGTTGTATTTTCTGCACATCTGTAAACACTTAGATTATGGACTGTTTACACATTGTTACATTTTTGTGTGTGTAGATTTTCAATGTGACAAAACTGACTAAGCTTGAAACTTTCCATAATTTAGTAGTGTGGACTTGTGATTAATGTAGTCTGTGTGTGTGTAGGATGGTGGATAAAGTAAATAAGATGGTTGCTTTAAATATTTTTACCTCCCAAAAAATAGTGAAATAAGGTTCACTTGTGTAAAATTCAGCCATTCAGGAACTCCTTTGGAATGTACTGCAAATGTAAGTCTGACTGCACTTACAAGCAGTTGTACAAATGCTGCCATTTGATTAATCGTTTAAGTAAAATACCATCAACATACAGATACCATATAAGGTCAAACATATGTTCTTGAGACATATATACGCAAGTTCTTGTTTGAGTGAACTCAAATTTCTGTTACTTTTAAGTGATTTGGTATCAATTGTTTTTATAACACTGCTGGTTTAGATTATCCTGACACTGGGAGACATAGACTCCATATACTGTACTTTATTGAAGGTTTGCTAAACACTTGTAGATGTACATTTAAAGTAGTCTACAGCATAATTATCTTGTAGTAATCAATTGGTCGGTCAGTAAGATAATCGTTGATACACTGTAGTTTGATTCTGCAAACAGTTAAGAGTAACAAAGAAAAGTGATAAACATCATATAACTTACTGTATATTTATGTAAAAACACAAACAAATCCTTGCTGTAAAAAGACCAGTAGCAATTCAAATATGTTTAAAGCACCTTTAGAATGAATGACTGTATTTGATTCTGCGTTACTGCAAAAAAGTATTTATTATTTCCACCTCATCCAAAAAAACCCCAAACTACTGTATAATTGTTATTCTACCAAACCAAAGCCCATAGAGAAAATCAAGAGTTTTCTGTCATCGTGTCAGAAAACCAAATTATCTGTTGCTGCCTCTTGTGGTAGGTTGGTGTTGTTGAGACAGGAGACTGCCACTGGATTTATTGGTGTTGTTGAGACAGGAGACTGCCATTGGATTTAAAACAAACAAACAAAAAAACATTTGAATTGACTGATTAAGGAGCTATTGAATTAAAAAGGTGTCTGTGGTGTAAAATCACTAACTTTCTCTTTGTAAATTGGTAATCAAACCTATCCAGTAGTGAGTGAAGATCAGGGAAATATACACATCTATATGTTTTTAATCTGGGCTATAAGCTATAATTGTAATTAACATTAAATTGTTTGGTTTCATAATGAAAAAATAACACAAATAATCACAAATAAACTTTATTTTTGCCTAATCTTGTGTCAAATGTGTTATTTACAGTATGTGGTCAGAGTCACTGACTGTTGTACATTGTAATTAAATTGTTTTTCAAGTGATCTAGTTTTTAGAGCTACAGTATTCTGTAGTATTATAGTTTTAAACAGTGTCACAAAAATTTACTTCAACTGCTGCTTCTTCTTTATTGTTTTACTTTAATATGGATTTAAACTTCAGTGTAGATATTCCCAACAGAAAAGGCGTGTGTATTCACTGTAGAATGTCATAATACTTCTCAGATTTCATTGTTCCATCAGTTTTGACTGTCCCTGTCTTTACTTTCACTGTGCTGTACAGAAGATTAATCATGACTTATCACTGATTGTATGTTGTATATTTTTGAAACATTTTAATACTCTTATTTATAAATGTAAAATAAAACAAATATGAAAGGTTTGTATCATATGTTAGCTTGGAGGGTTATGGCTACTTTGTCTTACTACTTGCTCCTGGGGTACATGTCAATAATGTGCAACATCCTGGTGAAGTGATGCTGCATCAGCTGGGAAGGAGTTATTCTTTTGTCCGTGTCGAGCTGGAGCATCTCCTTCATTATGTCCACAAACATCTGCGCATCTTTCCGCTCTGCATCACGATCGGTTTCGTTGTCACTGCTGATGATGTGTTTCTGAAAAATGCATCCAAACAAAGAGGACTATGAAAGATCTGTGTTATATTTGTACCTGGATTGCAACAAGACAATCTTACATAATGGAGGTCGTCCAGTGAGGTTAGCTCCGACCTTCTGTTCTCAAATGGTTTCATTCTTTTGGCTCTTTTGACATGTTCTGGACCCTGTGCAAGTAGAGAACATCTGTGAGGAAGATATGTTATATGTCTGAACCAATTTGAGCTGGGCAGTATTAAAAAGGTACCTTGAGTTTCCAAACAGAGTTGGCAGAGGTTTTGTCCCTTTGGAAATATAAGTGAGTTTTTCTGCCACAGCAGAGCATGCTGTGTGGGAGCTGACCTTGGGTCTTCATAATGTTCCTGATCTGAAAATAGGCAAAAGCCAAGAGTCATTCTGGGAAGGCCTGAAACAAGACTTGTGAGATCAAGCATTTAGTATTGTGTACCATTTCATATTCATTGTTGCCATTGTAGAGCTCTGTACCGAGGTACATGAAAGCCACCATGCAACCCAGAGACCACATGTCTATGGCCTCTGTAAGAGGGAGGCCTAAAAGAACCTCTGGAGACCTGAGGGTTTAAAACAATGGATATAAGGCATTTACAACACTGACATTGAAATGCCTTCTACTAAATATATCTAGCCACCAATTCATCTCTAAAACCGGGACACACTGCCCTGATGGATGGCCAGCTACTACAGCGTGACACACATTACCTTACCAGTCCTCCTGTCAGTTGGTCACCGCATTGATGCTTGCTCCTTGGAACGTCTTAGTTGTATTCATGTCCAAATTTATTAAGGAAGATACGGCTTATAAATATGAACACTTGTTGTGTTTGCTTCATTTCAGTGTCTCTTCTTCTCTTCTCATGGTCTGTAGCTTAACACCCAATCACAGAGATCTTCTTCAATGATTTCAACGGTACGTCTTAGGGCTCATGTGGATTCCGAGAAGGACCAACGTTGCCTCGCACGCTACCTCGACTATGGCTTTGGACAGTCATGGACTGCCTAAAGACAGACCATCGGGGAGGTGTGCCCCATATCTAAGACAGGATTTATGGCTCCAGTTACTCACCGGAAAGGACGGGTCTGAATGTATGCCCCCACTTTGGCAAACCGAACACTGGTGGCCAGACCAAAGTCAATCACTTTGACCCTATAGGGCTCCAGCTGTTGGTTGACCAACATCACGTTCTCCAACTTGAGGTCTGCGTGAATTATTCTGGCAGCCTTCAAGTGGTTGAGTGCATTGGCGAGCTGAAAAGTTATTAACATGACATCAGTATACCAGTTTACTAGGATGTCAGCAGTAGACTGTACATTGAGTGTCAGTGCAGACAGAAGAGGATATGGACCTGCTGGACAATTGGTCTGATATCCTTCAAAGGAAGAGGTTGAAATTTACGCTCTCTCATAAAGTCAAACAGACTCTTGTCAAGATGCTCAAACTCCAGGCAAATGTGACCTCTATCTGTAAAGATTTGGTACCAGTGAACCAGGTTGGATCTTACTGGGTCCAGCGATTTTAGTTTCCTCAGGATAGCCACCTAGAGATACAGCAGAAATAGTTATTTTCTACATGTTTTTTTTTTTACAATGACACCCAATCAGTCGATGGTTGGGGCAACACATGTTATTATCTTTCATTCTGTCTAATCAAGTCTAATTTGTACAACCCATTTCTAAGGGATTAATTTTAAAACATAAATTTGGACAGCCTTTATCTTCCAATAATTCCAGAATGTCATCTTATAATACATATTACCTGTATACAGATAATTTTGCTTATGATCCAAGCATGTTAGGAAAGCAGATGTATATATTTTTGTTTCCTACCTCTCCTTTTACTTTCCATGAGTGTTTAGACTTCATTATTTTGATAGCCACAGTTTCTCCATCGTTTACTCTTAAGCATTTTGCAACTGTCCCAAAGGAGCCCTGACCAAGGTACTTCTGCACCTGGTACGTGGAGGATCCAGAGGTCAGCAAGTGTCCAGTGAAGAGGCGATTGGTTTGGGTTGGCCTTATTAAGTGCACGTTTGGATCCATTTTAAACTGCTACTACAAATTGAGTGAAAGGTTGTTATAAAAAATGTCTTCTAACTTGGATTATAACTTAAGGAATGTTTTATTGCAGAAGTAGCTCCCTGTCTGGCAGCACAACAGTTAGCATTTGTAGGTTGAGAAAATGACACACTAAAGGTTCCTTTGATATATTAACATGATAGATTTGGCTTTGATATGTAACTGACATAAAATATGACGTCACATTCAAAATTTCATAAGGATTGTCACAAAAATAAATATATATATAACTTATTCTTGTGGGTTTTATTTTAACCAGATTAAATAATTTTTTTAAAAACGAATCCCTCCCTGGGAATGAAGAGGTTAGCAACTTGTTAGCAGTTAAAACGACTATTAACAAAATTTACATTATGTTTACTTGGAAAGGATATGAAATGAATAAAAAACACCTATAACACTCCACGATGTAGCTGTAAATCTTCTCCGGTCTATTGTATTGTTTTTTGTCTAGTTCTGTGTTTTTACGTTTGATTTCCAACTGAATTTTACGCTGGACCACGCATGTAATAGCCTCTGTACCTTTTTACAACACATTTATTCGTTTTATGTATACAATGACCACGAGAGGACGCCAAAGAATGTAATGGCCACCCTTATTTTGAAAAGACATATTACGTTAGAAAGAGTATTGGAAGCTTGATGTGTACTTTGAAAAGTCCAAACCGGAAAAGGTGTTGACGCAGTTGTTTGTTGTCGGTACTAGCGTTTGGTCTGAAGTCACTGAGAAAAGCTACGATACAGCAAGGCTACGATACAAACACGGTAACCAATGTCATCTCACTTTGATTTTATGCTACGCGTACTAAATCGCTGAAAACATTTAACCTTCGTGGTATCGTGGGTCCTAGGGGCGGACGGTTCGAAGCTGTGTGACCGACCGCCCATAGTCGTGGCTTCCGCAGGCTCGTTTTGTTGTGTGGATTATTTTACTGTTGTTCCACCGTTCAGCGCAAACATTTAGTTTAATATTTATGGCCGCAATTACATAAATGGTCCCAACTGGCCTGCAGATGATTAACCACTTCATGGTATCAATGCTGCTTGTTTTAATGAGTGGATTTAACACATGTGTGAACAGGTTAATTATAAACCAAAACAGGTATAAACAGTCTCTGACAGCCCTGTGTTATCTGAAAGCCCACTTGTTGCTTTCACCACATATGAAACCGAATTGTTTTTCGCAGAAAGACAACATCCCTTATTAAAAACTCTGTCATTTTAAATAACTTCCTCGGTCTCAGTTTATTGAATACACGCCAGAAAACTGAACTATTTCTTTAAAACCCATAAACTGTCTTTTGTATACCTTGGCTGGTCTGGTCCGTGGAAAAATTGCATTGCATAAAACTGGTACGTGGTGCTTAAAAGGTTGTGGACCACTGGAAAAGGTTTGTGGCTTCATGTTGTTAAATAACGTTTTTCAAGGAAATTAGGTTTATTTTGAATTCTTACATATGGTCCATATCGTTATCAGGGTATAATATTTATTCTAGCAGGATAATGCATTTTATAAATATCTTTGTGGTGCCTCCAGTGGGGTATGTCTGTATCAGAAATTGCTATGGATGATTGCTCTAAGAATCTGTTCATTCATCCACCTTCTACTGCTTCAGCAGATGTCTGTGACTTCACAGAGGTACCTGCAGTACCTCTGTGAAGCCTCTTTCTATTATACCAGTGATGTTTCATAGTTGACCGCACGTGTCTCTTGTTCCTATGATCAGACTGATCAGGGTCATTGTGGACCGAGCTGTGGCTGCTATGGCAGGTGGATCTGTCTCCTGGGTAGATTCTAGTCCTATGTCTGTCATGATCTGATTTTGTGTTGTAACCAAAGTCACGGTCTTCACTGTGACTCGTCTTCCTCTTTACCCAAGGTGGAACAGATCTCTGAATGGTTCTGCTATAGCCTGAGGTGGATGGTCCGGAGGTGCTTCCATGGGAACGCCTGCTGTTGTTGTCACCGCTGCTTTTGTTTCCCTCAATCACATGCTTTGCATCATAATATTCAGCTATCCTCTCCTTTACAAGATGAGTGCCTCTGGCTTGATGTTCTTTGGGTCGGTGGGCCACATCCAAGTGACTCCACAAAGCTGCATCAGGCATGGAAGGCTGACTCCAGTCTGCAGAGTCAGTCATGCCTGGGTGGCTCCTGGCTTCAGTGGCAGTCATGCCCGAGTGGGTCTTCACCACATTGTCAGTGTTTTTTGCCTTCCTTGTGTCTACTGCCTTACCGGTTACACATCTGTGTGACCTGTGTGTAGTTTCGGAACTTGTGCAGGCACGTGGGTTGCCACAGTGGTGCTGATCTGGGTTACCAGTTCTGCAGGGAGGACGCTGTGTTGATCTAACCTGCCCTTTGCTGTTTTGGCAGATGTTCATCATACTGGAGCAACACCTAACACTGTAAGAGAACAAATGGTAAAGGTTCAAATGTAACTACATAACATAGATATGTTGTATATTTTTGAAACATTTTAATACTCTTATTTATAAATGTAAAATAAAACAAATATGAAAGGTTTGTATCATATGTTAGCTTGGAGGGTTATGGCTACTTTGTCTTACTACTTGCTCCTGGGGTACATGTCAATAATGTGCAACATCCTGGTGAAGTGATGCTGCATCAGCTGGGAAGGAGTTATTCTTTTGTCCGTGTCGAGCTGGAGCATCTCCTTCATTATGTCCACAAACATCTGCGCATCTTTCCGCTCTGCATCACGATCGGTTTCGTTGTCACTGCTGATGATGTGTTTCTGAAAAATGCATCCAAACAAAGAGGACTATGAAAGATCTGTGTTATATTTGTACCTGGATTGCAACAAGACAATCTTACATAATGGAGGTCGTCCAGTGAGGTTAGCTCCGACCTTCTGTTCTCAAATGGTTTCATTCTTTTGGCTCTTTTGACATGTTCTGGACCCTGTGCAAGTAGAGAACATCTGTGAGGAAGATATGTTATATGTCTGAACCAATTTGAGCTGGGCAGTATTAAAAAGGTACCTTGAGTTTCCAAACAGAGTTGGCAGAGGTTTTGTCCCTTTGGAAATATAAGTGAGTTTTTCTGCCACAGCAGAGCATGCTGTGTGGGAGCTGACCTTGGGTCTTCATAATGTTCCTGATCTGAAAATAGGCAAAAGCCAAGAGTCATTCTGGGAAGGCCTGAAACAAGACTTGTGAGATCAAGCATTTAGTATTGTGTACCATTTCATATTCATTGTTGCCATTGTAGAGCTCTGTACCGAGGTACATGAAAGCCACCATGCAACCCAGAGACCACATGTCTATGGCCTCTGTAAGAGGGAGGCCTAAAAGAACCTCTGGAGACCTGAGGGTTTAAAACAATGGATATAAGGCATTTACAACACTGACATTGAAATGCCTTCTACTAAATATATCTAGCCACCAATTCATCTCTAAAACCGGGACACACTGCCCTGATGGATGGCCAGCTACTACAGCGTGACACACATTACCTTACCAGTCCTCCTGTCAGTTGGTCACCGCATTGATGCTTGCTCCTTGGAACGTCTTAGTTGTATTCATGTCCAAATTTATTAAGGAAGATACGGCTTATAAATATGAACACTTGTTGTGTTTGCTTCATTTCAGTGTCTCTTCTTCTCTTCTCATGGTCTGTAGCTTAACACCCAATCACAGAGATCTTCTTCAATGATTTCAACGGTACGTCTTAGGGCTCATGTGGATTCCGAGAAGGACCAACGTTGCCTCGCACGCTACCTCGACTATGGCTTTGGACAGTCATGGACTGCCTAAAGACAGACCATCGGGGAGGTGTGCCCCATATCTAAGACAGGATTTATGGCTCCAGTTACTCACCGGAAAGGACGGGTCTGAATGTATGCCCCCACTTTGGCAAACCGAACACTGGTGGCCAGACCAAAGTCAATCACTTTGACCCTATAGGGCTCCAGCTGTTGGTTGACCAACATCACGTTCTCCAACTTGAGGTCTGCGTGAATTATTCTGGCAGCCTTCAAGTGGTTGAGTGCATTGGCGAGCTGAAAAGTTATTAACATGACATCAGTATACCAGTTTACTAGGATGTCAGCAGTAGACTGTACATTGAGTGTCAGTGCAGACAGAAGAGGATATGGACCTGCTGGACAATTGGTCTGATATCCTTCAAAGGAAGAGGTTGAAATTTACGCTCTCTCATAAAGTCAAACAGACTCTTGTCAAGATGCTCAAACTCCAGGCAAATGTGACCTCTATCTGTAAAGATTTGGTACCAGTGAACCAGGTTGGATCTTACTGGGTCCAGCGATTTTAGTTTCCTCAGGATAGCCACCTAGAGATACAGCAGAAATAGTTATTTTCTACATGTTTTTTTTTTTACAATGACACCCAATCAGTCGATGGTTGGGGCAACACATGTTATTATCTTTCATTCTGTCTAATCAAGTCTAATTTGTACAACCCATTTCTAAGGGATTAATTTTAAAACATAAATTTGGACAGCCTTTATCTTCCAATAATTCCAGAATGTCATCTTATAATACATATTACCTGTATACAGATAATTTTGCTTATGATCCAAGCATGTTAGGAAAGCAGATGTATATATTTTTGTTTCCTACCTCTCCTTTTACTTTCCATGAGTGTTTAGACTTCATTATTTTGATAGCCACAGTTTCTCCATCGTTTACTCTTAAGCATTTTGCAACTGTCCCAAAGGAGCCCTGACCAAGGTACTTCTGCACCTGGTACGTGGAGGATCCAGAGGTCAGCAAGTGTCCAGTGAAGAGGCGATTGGTTTGGGTTGGCCTTATTAAGTGCACGTTTGGATCCATTTTAAACTGCTACTACAAATTGAGTGAAAGGTTGTTATAAAAAATGTCTTCTAACTTGGATTATAACTTAAGGAATGTTTTATTGCAGAAGTAGCTCCCTGTCTGGCAGCACAACAGTTAGCATTTGTAGGTTGAGAAAATGACACACTAAAGGTTCCTTTGATATATTAACATGATAGATTTGGCTTTGATATGTAACTGACATAAAATATGACGTCACATTCAAAATTTCATAAGGATTGTCACAAAAATAAATATATATATAACTTATTCTTGTGGGTTTTATTTTAACCAGATTAAATAATTTTTTTAAAAACGAATCCCTCCCTGGGAATGAAGAGGTTAGCAACTTGTTAGCAGTTAAAACGACTATTAACAAAATTTACATTATGTTTACTTGGAAAGGATATGAAATGAATAAAAAACACCTATAACACTCCACGATGTAGCTGTAAATCTTCTCCGGTCTATTGTATTGTTTTTTGTCTAGTTCTGTGTTTTTACGTTTGATTTCCAACTGAATTTTACGCTGGACCACGCATGTAATAGCCTCTGTACCTTTTTACAACACATTTATTCGTTTTATGTATACAATGACCACGAGAGGACGCCAAAGAATGTAATGGCCACCCTTATTTTGAAAAGACATATTACGTTAGAAAGAGTATTGGAAGCTTGATGTGTACTTTGAAAAGTCCAAACCGGAAAAGGTGTTGACGCAGTTGTTTGTTGTCGGTACTAGCGTTTGGTCTGAAGTCACTGAGAAAAGCTACGATACAGCAAGGCTACGATACAAACACGGTAACCAATGTCATCTCACTTTGATTTTATGCTACGCGTACTAAATCGCTGAAAACATTTAACCTTCGTGGTATCGTGGGTCCTAGGGGCGGACGGTTCGAAGCTGTGTGACCGACCGCCCATAGTCGTGGCTTCCGCAGGCTCGTTTTGTTGTGTGGATTATTTTACTGTTGTTCCACCGTTCAGCGCAAACATTTAGTTTAATATTTATGGCCGCAATTACATAAATGGTCCCAACTGGCCTGCAGATGATTAACCACTTCATGGTATCAATGCTGCTTGTTTTAATGAGTGGATTTAACACATGTGTGAACAGGTTAATTATAAACCAAAACAGGTATAAACAGTCTCTGACAGCCCTGTGTTATCTGAAAGCCCACTTGTTGCTTTCACCACATATGAAACCGAATTGTTTTTCGCAGAAAGACAACATCCCTTATTAAAAACTCTGTCATTTTAAATAACTTCCTCGGTCTCAGTTTATTGAATACACGCCAGAAAACTGAACTATTTCTTTAAAACCCATAAACTGTCTTTTGTATACCTTGGCTGGTCTGGTCCGTGGAAAAATTGCATTGCATAAAACTGGTACGTGGTGCTTAAAAGGTTGTGGACCACTGGAAAAGGTTTGTGGCTTCATGTTGTTAAATAACGTTTTTCAAGGAAATTAGGTTTATTTTGAATTCTTACATATGGTCCATATCGTTATCAGGGTATAATATTTATTCTAGCAGGATAATGCATTTTATAAATATCTTTGTGGTGCCTCCAGTGGGGTATGTCTGTATCAGAAATTGCTATGGATGATTGCTCTAAGAATCTGTTCATTCATCCACCTTCTACTGCTTCAGCAGATGTCTGTGACTTCACAGAGGTACCTGCAGTACCTCTGTGAAGCCTCTTTCTATTATACCAGTGATGTTTCATAGTTGACCGCACGTGTCTCTTGTTCCTATGATCAGACTGATCAGGGTCATTGTGGACCGAGCTGTGGCTGCTATGGCAGGTGGATCTGTCTCCTGGGTAGATTCTAGTCCTATGTCTGTCATGATCTGATTTTGTGTTGTAACCAAAGTCACGGTCTTCACTGTGACATTATCTCATTGCTGGGTCTTTTGAATGAGTCATTTGTCAGTCATGTGATAAGAAACAAACAAACAAAAATCACTCCAGAGGATGAACACACTTCTCATGTTACTAAATGGGAATTTAAAGCATTGGAAAAAAACCCCATGTGAACACAATAGCAGAGTGTTGGAAAGAAGATCAGCTGATTAAATCTAATGAGTCTTAAATTTGGTTTGAACTGATGCATGCCCAGGGATTTGTACCCAAACCACCTCAGGCCATAGACCATAGGATTTTTAGGATACATTTAAAGATTAAAAAAAAAGTGAAATTGCCTCGGTCTTTTTATCATGGTGTTGTTACATTTCTAGGAACCTTTTTCTAACCCCAGGAGGCCCAGAAGTCACAACCTTTACTTTTTATAAACCATTCCAACAAACACCTACCTGTGTCTTTGGATGTGGCAATACGTGCCGTCTGCAAACAGGTGAACTTGACTGGGTGGAGTTAAGTGAAGCACCTGATGCTGTGTGGCATCAGTGTTGTAAATACTCCTGGTACCAAAGAGACGGCTTTACTCATTTGTTTAGGGGCTGACCTGTTTCAGTACGAGCAAAATAGTCTGATTATAGCTGAGTAAAAGGAGCTGCTTGTTAGATTTTTTTTTTTTTTTTGGGGGGCAGAATGAGTTATGCTGACTAACTGGCTCAACAGCAAATCTAACTTGTAGCTCACTGCAAGTGCAACATACATTAAGACCAAACCAATGACTTTGCAGGGTGGTTTTGATCTCCATTATTAGTAAATGACTAAGCATGTGATTGCAAGAGAGATTAGACCTTTATCGTCTTTGAAACCACTGGTTTAGAGCCATATATATGGAAAACTTGTCTTTTACATTACACCATTTTTTGCCCATAAAATAGCAAAGTTTTGTCCTGCAAAATTACCAAAATCCTGTTAAATTATACCAGCCATAAGACAAACAAACTCCTGTTCTACTTGCTGGTAATGGCATCGTATTGTTCCTGCAGCATTAAAGCCCCTTCCTGTTGTCCTGACCAGAGTACTAGAAGTACAAAAAACATAAACTTAACTATTTATTTTTTAACAATTTGATGACCGTCATTAATCTATTCATATTTGTGGTTAGGTTCATTACCAAACAATCTGATGGTAAAAAAAATCTTTATATGATTACCTGCTGCATCACCACTGTTTGTGCAGCAGCATCCAAATCATCTAAGCAAAGAGGAAACTGCTTTTGTCTCGGCACTCTCTCAATACTCTCATTTTTTACCATGTGAGTGGGTGTGTGTATGTGTGACCAGTCACACAGCGGCTGTGACTGTTGGTTAGTAGCAATATTTATTTAAAGCAACATGCTGTCAGCACATATAAGATCAAAGAGAGGGAGGGTAAACAAGTGGGGGCTGGGCCTGAAGAGAAAAATGGGAAGAGTAAATATGTCAGAGGAGGAGGAGGAGAAATGCAGTCATTGAGTTGAAGCAGATATGTACAGTAAGTGATGCAACTGAGTCAGACTCACTGAGCTTCACAGTTGGTCATAGGAGTTGCCACAGGCTGTGTTGGTAAAAAGTCTGCAGCAGAGGACTGTATGATTTGGGCACAAATATACAGAGTAAGTTTTCATCAGATTTTATATTGGTGCAAATAGAAAGGCTAAAAAAAGTAACCTTTAGGGATGATATGCACTGGGCTGTAGTTTTGTTTCCGTCCTACAGTCCATAACAGCCAGATTAGTCTGTATCTAACTTTCATTTGAATTCCTATTTTCAGTGTATTTTATGGACATTGCACATAAGAAAATTAGATGTAAGGTGTTTCCATATAGGATTTTGTATGAGTAACCAGTGTACATGCTCTACCTCTACCACAAACTTAACACAATTTTTTGACTGTGCAATATATACTCCTGGGTGAAAAAAATACAATAACTTCCTGCTTGTATCTGTTACCTATATCTTCTAGTGAGTAACTTTACCTTTCAATACATGGCTGGGAACTTTTATTTCAAGAACATAATTACTAGTAAATTTATAATGACCAACTTCTTGTCTCGTTTCAAGCAAGGATGTAAATTATTTTTGTATATAATTGATACAAATACAGTACCTACCAAATTTATACAAGACGGGCTTAGTATGTAAAGACTATGACTCATTCACTGTCTGAAAACATTGCTCTGAATATTTGTAGCTTATCTTGCTCTGCATTGCATTGTTAGGTTAAACTCACACAATAACATTGACTGAATGTACATTTATACCCTGTAACTCAGGTTTATTAGGAGGATCATTTTATTTCTTATTTTAAAACTGTAAAGTCCATTGAAACAAATGTAATTTAAGAATTTGGGCAATACAAAAAAATGGATTTGACTCTTAATGGGCATGGGGATAAATCTACTTTACATTTACCTCAAAATACCAAAAATAAAGCAAATATATTCTCTAAAAATGACCTTAATCACTCTTCATTTCTCCTATTTTCATCTTAAGGTACTTGCTGCAGCTGACACACAGCATTGTGTGTCCTCTCCTGTCTGAGACGCCTCAGTGTGGGTGTGTTTTAGCCTGTGTGCTGGTTAAGTGCCATTCTGCAGCCATCTGTGATGTCGTCAGATCTCCTGGTCGACTTGAGTGAGGACTCTGCCACGGCTCAGCTGGACAGGCTTAAGCTGGCCACTATTGAGGACCAGCAGTGGCCTGCAGATGAGTCAACCCTCAGCAAATCAGGTAAAGAACTGCCAGCTTGGTGATCATGTTTGATACAGTCCTTTAAAAAAAAATATTAAGTTGTGTCTGTTTTGCTTTGAACTCCAGACACTGACATCTCGCAGCGCTTAGACAGCATCTCCTCTCACCTGCCCCTGAACCATCGCTTTTATGACATTGCCAGGCATCACATCATTGAAGTTGCAGGTCAGTGACATCCTGCTGTGGTTCCCTGTTGTTTGCTTTCTTCTCCCCACTCCTGCATGTGACAATAAAAAGATACTTTACCTTTGAAACAGAGTGTGATTTCACCCTGGTTAACTTTGAATAGAGAAAAATATACAGGTGCGTTGGGCAGAGGGCCAAACATACCAGTTGGGCTTTTGTTACTGGTATTTGTAACTTGTAATTTGTTATTTGTTTTCTCTCTTGTATGTCAGAGCAAAATTGCAAAATTTAATGATTAGATAAACATAGATTTACCTCAACCAAAAATAGCCAAAATCACCATAAACTAGACAAAAGGTCTGCCCTGAAATACCTTTGGCCATAAATGTAGCAAAAATAGATAAATACTGTAAACCTGCTAAGAAAAGGTGGCCTTAAAAAGTGCACCAAAACACAAACCTAGGTTGAGCTGTACATAAAGGTTTTCCAAAATCTTAAAAATTAGTTGGGTAAAATTAGCTTATTGGTAAAGCTCAAAACAGTCAAAGTTCTAAAAAAAAACCAAAACAATAATGCTATAAGAGCTAAATCTAAGGCAGAAAAAAATGCACAATGGCTAGCTTTGAAATTACCAAACATTGAGGCTAACAAACTTAGGTAACAGTAACTTAAAATGTAGCCAAAAATGCTAAGTTAGCCACAGGTTTCACAAAAGCTAAAGGTTTCCTTGTTAATATCTATTAGTTGCCAGAAAAAAAGCAAAATAGAAAAAGTTTACCTGAATACCCTAAAAGCTAATAGTACTTACACAAACGAAACTGTGTTAGCCAAAGGTTCTCCACAAATGTAACAGAATTAGAAATAGTACTTAAAGAGTGGGCATTTACTGACGCACCTCTGAATTTCAACTATTATCTTATTTTTGTTGGGTTGGTTGATGTTGAGTTTAAAAAAGACCATTGGGTCACAAGACAATGTCACATGTTGCACACGTTGCATTCTTCAGGGTCAAGAGGAAATAATTAAAGTAACACAGGACAAACGTCACATGTTACTGTATCCAACACTGCTCGCAATACAGTGGCCTTCACATGTGTATCAGGTGGCTGCTGCTTTACTGAACCACTGATATTGACAGCTGTGTGTTTGTGTGTGTCTCTCTCTCTGTAGGTGATGATAACTTTGGCAGGAAGGTGATTGTGTTCAATGCCTGCAGGATGCCACCAGTGCACGAGCTCAACCATCACAACTTGCTGATGTAAGCAGTCAGGTGACCTCAAAGATTGTTGCAAATAGAAGTGGAAAAAACCCTGTTCCTTATTGAGCATGTATTCTTGTATTGCTCCAGAATTGTGTATCTCATATGATGTATGTCATACATCAGTGCAATCAGTACAAAAAGGTTATACTGGAATACTGCATTATTTTTAGTGAATACAGAGGTTTTATTCAGCCGTTGTTAGCTTTTGTTTGAAGACAAGACTTTGGTGAACATGTACATTTTTAACCAGCACTACAGTGATCATAGCTTGAATGTTCTGCTTGTACTTCTCAGCTTTTCTTACTTTTTACAAAAGGCTTACGATATCCTTGTGGCTAAGAAACGATTGGAGTATTCCTGGATTAACATACTCTGATGGGCAGTATTTATTTATTTAATTAGAGTAGTTGTAGGCACAATTGCTGTCAAGCAGTACTGTTGGTAACTTATATAATATCGAGCTGGATGACAAAAAACGGCACTGTCTACCTCTAGTTCAGATATTATTGTCTATTGCAGACCTCTGAGTTTTTTTTTCAGTTAAGGTTATTTTAGTGCATAAAAAGACACAAGTAAAAAGTAACACAGAACAAGAAAAAAGTGTTGGAGTTTGTGGCAGGAGGTCAGATGACAGAAGTCTTCAGCAGAATTCAGGGCAGGGTTGTTGTTCTGTCGCCTGATGACTCACTGTGAAGAAAGTCTTTAAACAAAATTGCTTCTTTTTATGTCAGACCTTTTCCTCTCTGACTCATAGTGTTCTTTTTTCTACTTTGTTGACTGTAACGGTTCCTGGATTTCTGCAAAAGTTAAACAGAACTAAGATTATGTATTTTTAAATTCCAACTACAATCATAACATACATACATGCCCTACCATACCATACCATACTGGCACCGTCCTCACACACTGCTCCCTGGGCGCTTAAAGCTGCCCACTGTTCACTTTGGTTTAAAGCAGAGGTCACATTTGTTGTGTGCAGTGGAGAGCTGTGTCACAGTGACGAGTAGTTCTCTTTCCTTTCCATCTTTATTTATAAAAAACTTAAAAAGAGGGCCGTACAGTACCTAGATGTAAAAAATGCAAACATGGAAGAAATCATGCACTTACACCAGGACAGTAGGAACCCTCACACAGAAAAAAGAAATACAATGAAGAACAGGAAATATTCAGATTTTTATTAAAATTGTGGTGGAGCCTGTTTAGGGCCCAGAACCAAAGAAAAAAAAAACAAACTCTCAAGACTACAAATAACAGCATTTAATCTGTTGGCATGAGAAAACCAGCAAGTTCAAAGGTAAGCAGCAGATCGTATGATTAAGAAACAGCAAAACCTTTTTAGAGATTTAAAAACAAAAATGGAGGATTTTGAATTCGAACCTATTAAGAGTCAGACAGCCACATTCTGAACAATCTGAAGTCTGGAAATGAACAACTAGCTAAGTCCATCTGAGAGAGATATTCCAAGCGAGAGATTATAAGAACATGGATACCTGTTCCCACATTACACTTAATGAGAACTGGATTTATTTTCAATAGGGTGGTTTGAGGTGGATTTGATTTTTCCATTTGAAAGTGTTGTCAAGCTCTAGAGCACAATGTATTCTGACACTTAGGCTGGTGAGATCTAATCCTCCTCCTTATAGGGGGCTGGAGTGCAGGCATCAACATTGGGAGTTTTTCAGGTGCTACAGGCTCTATAATGATAACCTCTGTATTTCTTTTCCATTTTTGTGCAGGTACCTTAAGGAAACACTGGACCAGTATGTTGAAAGTGACTACACTCTGATCTACTTTCATCATGGGCTGACTAGTGAAAACAAGCCATCTCTCGGCTGGCTTCGAGAAGCTTACAGGGAGTTTGACAGAAAGTGAGTCCAGCAGCATTACTGGAGATAAACAATACAGATTACCATTTAACAACAGACGAGGCGTTATATATACCGCATACTGTAATGCATTTTCATTTTTTTAAATGCTGCAAAGCTAAAGTGTTTGTTTTTCAGGTATAAGAAAAACATCAAGGCTTTGTACATTGTCCATCCCACCATGTTCATCAAGACACTGCTGATCCTCTTCAAACCACTTATCAGGTCAGTCAGAAAAATATCAGTAATGGTGTTTAAATAATTTATAAAGCTGTTACAGAGCAGCAGTATGAGAGCATCACACACTACAACACACTAATATTAATGGTTTTTTTTGCAAAAGTATCTTGTTGTTGATGATTTGTTTGATTCTCTCTTTTTCTCTTTAGTTTTAAATTTGGAAGGAAGATCAACTACGTGAGCTACCTGAGTGAGCTGGAGGAGGTGGTGAAGTGTGATCAGCTGCTCATTCCTACACGTGTTAAAGAGTAAATTGCATAACATTTATTTGAAACTTTTTGTCTTTTCCTGTATGTTATATGTCACTCATTCTTCTCACATGGCAGTACTCATTTGACCTGGTTTCTGTGACAGGTATGACAACAAGCTGAGAGCCTCTCTGAAACCGGCTGCGCAGCCTCCGATGTCTCCTCCTCGTAGCCCTCCGCTCCCCGACCAGGTGTTTGGAGTACCTCTCACATTGTAAGCATCAAATTAAATTCACTTACAGCACAGAAGAGAGAGGTGCAGTGGATCTTAATAATTGAACATATCCTGGTATATGGTTTATTACCATCGTATCCTCTTACAGTATTACAGGTGTGTCAACATCAATGGGTTTTTCTGTACCAGGAAATGCGTGTATATTTTGATAAGAGTGGGACTCATTTAAATGGAGAGGATCTCACATGGCTCAATTCATGCTAGTGTGGCAGAGCTCCTCTTCAATCTGTTCTAATAGAACAACACTATGTAGCAGTTTTATACCTAGATGCAGTTGTACTTACCTTTTCTACAACACCCTCAGTGACTATTCCTCAAAACAGTAATTCTCAGTCTTTTTTGTGCCACAGCGTGTATTTTATGCAAGAAAATACCCACAGCACACCACCAAACAAAAAAGTATATATAATGAAATACAATGATCTTCTAGTTTCAAATTACTCTGAATTGACACACTGGACTAGACAAACTGATACTTATTAATACAACATCACTCATTGAAGTTCATTGCAGGTTAATGTGTCAGCTTAAGTAAAGAGAGAAGTTTGTGAAATATAATTTTGTTTTGAAATCATTTGTATCTTTGCAAAATTTTGCAACTTCCCTCCCCTTGTTTTAACAGTTTCAAAAGAGCATCATGGTTATTGTGGTAATGCCTCTGTTTGTTGTTGTGTTGGTCAGGCTCAGACAGAGGAGTCCTGGTGGTGAACCTGTTCCTGTGGTCATGAGAGACACCATAGAGTTTCTTTCAGAGCATGGTAACAACAATACTTTTTTTTTTTTTACTGTGTCTTTGGAATTGTCCTTATTTCGCGTGTCTTTGCTTGGACAGGTTTGGAGATTGAGGGGATTTTCAGAAGGTCTGCCAACATAACTTTGGTGAAAGATGTTCAGCTGAAGTACAACTCAGGTAGAATAGACCAAAGTACATAAAAAAGTTGTTCTCTGTATCTGTAGCCATTCTTGAATTGAATCTTTTTAACTGTGCTTGTTTTTTAGGTGCACCAGTGAATTTCAGAGACATAGAAGATGTCCACTTGGCTGCTGTTATTCTTAAGACTTTTTTGAGGGAGTTGCCAGAACCTCTGCTTACCTACCAGCTCTACAACGACATTGTGAACTTTTCCCGTAAGTGCCACATTCTTTGATCTGTTAAACTGTTTAACCTTAATGTCATAAGAAATACACATTTTTATTCAGACAGAACATCATAATAATAAGATAAATGTAGTTCAGCAATTAATACACAAAGTTATAGCCGAAGGAACATTTTTCTTACAGATTTCTATGGGGGTATTCTAATGATCCAGCCCCTGCTGGTCAGCACTGGTACTTCAGGAATAGGCTATCCAGTTTTTTTTTAGATTATGTGAGGTCTGTTCTACACATTTTTATAAAGTAATTATTTTAGGAGAGAGGTGAGTGAATGACGTGGATTGTCTCTCACTCCCTTATACAAAGCCCACTACATGATTTCTCCAGCTGGTTTAACTTCCTCTAATCTCTCATCCTTTGGTGTTTGTTCCATCAGCATCAAGGGACGACCACGTGGCGGTAATGAAGTCGCTGCTTGAGTCACTCCCTGAGGAAAACTACGCATCACTCCGATACCTTGTCACATTCCTGGCACAGGTACAGATCTAACACTTCGGAAGCCGTTAAAGTGTAAGTCTGTTACCAACCACTAGGTGTCTGACTTGGTGTGTGTGTGTGTGAGTTTAGGTAGCAGCCAACAGTGAGGTGAATAAGATGACCAACAGCAACCTGGCTGTGGTGTTTGGTCCTAACCTGCTCTGGGGGCGGGACAATGCCATGTCTTTGAGTGCCATTGGTCCCATCAACAACTTCACTAGGACCCTGCTGGACCAGCAGCATCTTATCTTCACCTAGGCCGAGCAGCAGTGTCACATCACCTTAACCCTCCATCACTTCCAGTGTTTAGTCTCCGGTTCATTCGCAGCGACGGACCAATCAGGTGCATGATCAGGGTACTACGTTAGCAACAGCACTTAGAGAGGGTAACGTCAGCTCTTTGTCAAATATAAAAGTCAAAATTGAAACGTATCAGTAACTAGTTAATCAAAGATCTGCCACAGAGACTTCACTCTGGAGATTTAACACAATGCGACAGAGAAGTGTCTGTGTCTCTCAGTCAACAGAGCTGCTCACCAAGTCTGAATATTGGAGCAGTAAAAACACCACAAACAGAATCTTCTGAAGTGACATCCAAGTGATGAAATTACTGCACTTCTATATAAGCTCTCCTAGGATCCAAGTCAGGATGATACTTTAATCACTTCAGTCAGCCTAAAGCATTCAATGACAGTGCACATTTACTGTTTCCTATTCCCTATATTCAATTGAAGTGGTGGGCCATTCAATTGATCAATAAAATAAACAAAACTGAGAACCACGACCAAAATAGTAACATCCAAAGATGTTTTTTGGGAAAAATATCCAATTTACTGATTTAAAATGTCAAAAGCTTTAGAAACAATGATGGACCCACTCCTTAATGGTCACAAGTCATAAATCAGGTGTGGGTGAAAAATGTTACAGTGATGTGTTTTTACACCTACAGTTGCTTGTCAGCAGCAGCATAAACACTACATCTATGCCAGATGAATCTCATGATAAGAAAAAAGCAAATGGTCTCACTGAATTAATCAATGGTCCTCACTGATTTAAAATTACAATGACAGTAACATCTGGTCATTCCATAGTAACAAAACGGCTAACGCACGTTAGGTGCCATTTTGAAAAAGATCACACACTGCTTTGTGCTTGTAGCTGCGATGTAGCCTCTGTCAAAACTTTGACTGGCTCATCCATTTATTTGGAAGATTTAAGATGTAAATGTATTCAGCCCATGTATATAGTGTATGTGGTCTACTTGTTCCTTTCTGTGTAGCATCATGGAAAAAGAACGTTATTCACAGAAAGAACCGTAGAGACTAGAATGCTGCTAAAAAAATTAAAATATTTTTTAATAAAAAATAATGCAGGTATTAAATCTTCCACAATTTCAATCCTAAATAAACAAGGGGAGGGGGTGAGATGGTGTTTGGGTTTTTCTCTCTGTGAAAGTCTCAGGTGAATTGGTACCAAACCTTGTTGGACAATCTGAAATGCTGTAGTGAAAACAGGCGGCTGGGCAGAAGCTGCAACTCTCCAGGCAGCAGATGTTAGGAGCAGGGAAACGCAGCTGTGCATGTGGACAAAAGTTTTCACTTTTGCACTGTATTATTTGGCTGTTGGTTTATGTTGCAACACTTACAGCTTTCTCCGTCACTGTGTTTGATTATGTTTCATAAATACTATCAGTCTTTTACCTGTTTTTTAATTTTTTTATTATTTCTGTCACCGCATCATAGCAATGCACACCCGGAGGAACACCTAAACAGGCGCTTGACATCTTTTTATTAAATGGTACGTGAAGTGCATGATGTGACATGGCACAAAAAAAGAAAATACTTTCCACTTTAGTTTGTCTCCGTGGCAAACGATGCAGCATCTACTCGTTAATACTGTTTGTTTCTGGACCAGACTTAAATTACTGAACATTTCCTTGTTGAGATAGACATTAATATTCCAAAGCCTTGGTTTTAGCCTAATTTTTTGCTGTGCATCTCCAAAGTCTGCTTGCTCAAAACATCACCTGTGTCTTTGTCAGTGTGATGTTGACCTGTGGTAGTTTGTGTAGATAATTCTGGACGTTCAAGAAGACAATGTCCAGAGAGTATCAAACATTGTCGGTTTATTATTTTTTATCTATGCCGAAAATCAAAGCAAATTAATAGTTCTGTGTTAGTGTTGGTATGATTCTTATTTTGTGACTGAAAAAAAAAACAAACACCAAAAGATAAAGATGTTGTTTGACTGAGTTTTGTATCAATAGTAACTGGTATGCTGACAGTGTATGCACTTCTTGTGTATGTATAAGCGTGTGTGTTTGAGTGGGCGCATGCTTGTGCCTTATTTGTTACCCTGACGTAATCGATCATGTGACTAGTCATCAAAGTGCCAGTGTGACTGTGTTGCCATAGATTAGATTAATACGGGGTGCGTTCAATGGATGTAGTGTTGTGTTGTGTGTGTGTGCGTGGTGAGAGAACTGACTAAGGGAGACAGCTGGGCTTCCGTCTGAACACACACTGCTGTAATGGCCAATTAGAGACGTCCTACGCATGACATATTTCATGAAATAAATCTGGGGAATTATTTAGAATTTGCTGACTCCTATGGGTAAGAGTGTAGATTGCAGCCAGTAAAAGTCTTAACTCACTCCCTTTGCCCCAACACTTATCAAGTTTCTGAGGATTTGCAAACCCGACAACAATGGAAGTCACACTTCTACTGGTTCCTGCACTCAGTCTACTGTAGCAACATGGAAAAACAAGATGGGGGCCTGCACAAAGCAAGAGCCATGCCACAAAATGCCCAAATAGAGGACAAGATTCAAACACAAATTCATAATTTATTGCTTTTATATATAGTAAAAATAACAAATCTTTCAAAGAAAAATTAGATTTTTCTGTAATTATAGAAAATGTGTTCATTACACATTAAGCACTTTGAAAATATTATCAAAAATGTCCAGACTTCAAAGTGCACAGAGGCCAAAATGTTGCTAATATCAGAATATGACTGATGCAGAATCCTGGAAAAAATAAAGGTCAGCTTTTAATTGAGATTTAAAAAAATGGTTTTAATAGATCTGGTCCTTGACTTGGAGTAGGACACTCAAACATTTTCAGTCAGCCTCTTCTCCCAAGTAATTAACAATCTATTCCCAATTGTGCCAAAATAACGATTTGTGCAACAATTTTTATGCGACTAGTGTGACGCTCAAGCATCCCTTGTCTACTGATCCATTACAGCCCAGTCTAATCTATGGAGCTTCGTACTGTACCTGTTGTCACGTGATTAAAAAAAACATTTCTCCATATGAGAAACTATTTGGTTTTCAATGCTGTATTGTTGATATGTGGTGATTTTATTTTCCATTTCTTAGAAATGTTTTTTTTTTCACTTTTTACTTTTGATATCTTGTGGATTTTTGTCCGTTAATATATGATATATTGGTATTATTCTGTAATATCAGTGTGTGCATACAATAAAGACAATGTCATTGTAAACAACATTATCTGTCTTTCAAAAGCACTGCTGTGAAATAACTTTAAAAGGGACAGTTGACAGTTTTTGGGTAAGTGTGGTTGCTGCTGGATGTGTAGTCTGTATGCTGATGAAACCATCCTTCATTCAGCTGTCGCTTTTCTCCACTCTTCAACTCAGCCTCACCGCTTTAGAGCAGTTCACAACCCTACATATGAGACCAAATGCATTATTAAATGAAAGACTGGTGTCTCCAGCATTGATTCATAGATCAGCTCTGCTGAGGGCCTAACCTTGACTTGTGTCCATTCCTAAAAATACCAAGAAACTCTTTACAGAACACCCTCAACCTTCCAACTGACTTTTATTAATACTTTAAAGATTCAAATCTTACAGTTCATAGTTAACTAATGCTCCTCCTGACTACGCTGGTTAACAAATGCATGTATTAATTAATGTTTATTGATGTTTACAAATGAAAACTGATTCTCAAAGATTATGCAACAATTGTTTTCAGTCACGGTATTACCTGACTTGTGCTTTATTGGATTAATGATAAAAAAAAAAAAAAAAAACCATCAATAGTTACTAACAATCAGATTTGATTCTGCTGATGGAGGCATGTGTCTTTGATGCTAACGTTGTTTTTCTGTATGGACTGTGGTGCAGGCAGTTTAACGTGATTGTGTGTTTGTTTCCACAATACGGTTTAGGTGTGAAATCAGAGATGGATTTAATGAGTAACTGGTTACAGCAGATGATGGCATGTGCACCTGTGTTATTTACGGTTCCAGTGAGAGCTGCTGACTCAGCAGACAGCTGCAGAGCGGGTTGCGGTATTGCTGCATCGGCTTCATGAAGAGTGGCCTAATTTGGAGATTAATAGTTTTTCTTTTCAGGAAGGGGTGAAATCATGATTGTCTTGGATTTCAGCCTCTTGTAGCAAATATAAGCCAAGTTATATTTGCCACATTAGACAGCCAAGTTATTGTTTAATTGAGTCTAAATAAAGGTAACAAAAAAGTACCCAAAGAGACACATTTGATTGTTTTTCCATGGAAAATTATAATGGATATGCTCCTGATAAATATTGTATTTATTTTTTTTGTTTTCACAGATTTCTCTCGTTTGTGTTTAACCTCTCTTTGGTCCCCTCTTCTGTAGGCGAGAGCCTGCTGTGTGGAGACGGTACATACCCGTCCTCCAGAGTTGGACACCCACTCCAAATTCACCTGCCAGGTCCTTTATGGTCAGTGCTGTCGGTGAGCTAAATCAACTCTCCAATGGTGGTCTCACCTTTCCCACCGTCTTTATTCTTTGTGATACATTCACTACGGTATAATAGAAACCATAGGAGGCAACAGATTTCTTTTTTTTTGTTGCAAATTTAAAATGTCAATTTTCTTAATGGACTTTGGTCCAGAGGATCGTGTGGTTGAATGAGAAAAAAAGTGTTGTTTTCAGTGAGAGGACAAAATTGGGACCTAAATTTTGCCATCAAATTTCTTCAGTCAGAGTGTGTTATTATTTTTTGGCCATGAATTCTCTATTTCTGCAGAAAATACTTTCCACAAGTCCTGCTACATAATGATTGAGTGCCTGAGGCTGGGGCTCCAGCAGGGTCTGAAGGTCAGCTGCTAAAACTAGAACAGCTGCAACAAATAAAACATCACCTGACCCACTTAAAAATAAAATAAACCCTGGGACAAACAAACATCTGGTCACATCTGGTTAAATTACAATATAATACACAGTCTGTGTTCTTTCACCGTGTCAGAGAATGTTCTCATCCACACGCTTAAAAACCTTAAATGAAAGTTCTGCTTATATTTTTGCTTTCATACAGAAGCTGACCAGTCTTTGTGTTTCAGACACATTTATTAAAGATAAATAAGAAACAACAATATTTACACATAACATAAATGGACTATTTACAGTGAGTGTGTACCAGTGTGTGACTTATTGACAAAGTCAATATTTGGCTGTTTTCACAACTAGATTCTGACTATTCTAAGCTCTAAGCACTAACTTTTTTTTGGCTCACATTGTTGGTATTATTTTATTTTTTTTAAAAAGCTATATTTTGCAATACATTAAGATTTTAAGGTGACTTTAAATATAGGTTTTAATAGGAACCACATACCCATGGCGCCTCCTGTGGACCACTGTACAACAAATAATAGACATCCATTCCAATTTCAGTTTAATAGTAATTTGTTTGTGGCTAACATATTCAATTTTATTGATAACATTTGTAGCTGCAGTAGGTTAGTTTTAGTTTTCTAGCTTAGGTTTATATTTTTGGCGATACATACTGCATCCTTTTTATCGAGCCTTGTTAGAGACAAAGTTAGGCAACTTTGTTTTAGCCATTGTTGCTAACTTGACATATCTACAGAAATTCTGCTATGTTAGTTAAAAACCTTTTACCTACTTTGACTTTAGTTTAAAAAAATCATTTACCACCAATAATACAGTATTTATCTATCCTAAATCTTTGTATGATTCACCTTCTACCACTCGTCTCATTCTTTGTTATTGAGAACTTTTTGGAATGTGAACCAGTCGTGAAGGTTGAGTTGGACATTTTTCTACTTAATTAAATGTACATTTCAAAGCAGCATTTAAAATGTGTGAAAGCAATTACACAAAGTTTTAATTTTTTTGCATCAGAACTTACAAAAACAAATTTAAGATAGTTTTAAGAAGTTAGATTTAGAGGACATATGGACAAAGAGAAACCTGAGCAGTGTCACATATCTGAAACACATTTGTTATAACAGGTCACTGATTTACTGTCCATTAATACAATCTGACTGTTTAACTTTCTAAGACCGTCACTGACTGGAGTAATAGAGAGAAAACTGATCCTGCTCTTTTGGTTTCTTCACCCAAACACCAAGTCCAGCTTTGTGGAAGGCTTTGAAGAGAATCTTCTTGGCGGAGTGGTAGTCCACAGCTGTCTTCTTGGCCTCATAGTAACTGCTGGGTGTCACTGCTTTGATCCTCAGAAAAGCAAAGAGCTATGGGAACAAAGGGACAAAACATAAAGATTGTCTCAATGGTGTTTGCCTAAATGTGTAAAAAGTTGAATGTAAACAAAAACAACAACTGAATTAGCTACAATAGCAATAAGGACAGAACGATGGTAGCAGAAAAAGATAAAGGTTAGCTAAAAAGTCATGCAAACCATTAGCCCAGAATAAAAAAAAAAACCTTAAATATTGTAACAATGAGCTATTATATAGATAAAAGTTAACCAAAATGTGTGACAATTGGCCAAAAACAGCTACAAATTTGAGCAGGTTGGCATTTCAAATATAGCCTTAAGATAATCCAGAAAACTAACAATAGCAGAGAGCTGGCCAAACATAGTTCAAACAAAGATTGACAGTCAAGCATTGGGTTGAAGCTATTGTAAAAGAACAAGAGTTACACAAAATAACTAGAAGCTAACATAAAGAAAACTGCAGAAACCTAGTCAAATTAGCCAAAAGTTAAATTTATACTATATTATATCATATTAGGTCAGCTCCGTAATGAAGCGGTTAGCATGACTGCCCTGTAGGGTGAGAGTACGGGGTTCAATTCCCGGAGGAACCACATGCTTGGCGCTTACTGGGGGCAGCCTGTTAATGGCATATCTTCAGCTAACAACAATTTCCCAAATATGGGCTCAATATTCTTTAATTTTTTTAAAATTATATTATATTATCCTAAAGTTAATGTAACATACATGAAAAACTGTATAGCTTATTATAAAAAAATCCTTAATGTCTGTGTGTTCCTGGTCCATAGCTATATTTGGGAGATTCTGATGATATTCCGGACACTTTGTCCTTCTGAGGACACTTATATCCCCAACGAATGAAAGAGTATTTCAAAGTTCAAGACATGGGCAATACATTTGTAACAGTTGAAGTTTGGGTAAGTGCATCACTCAATGAATCACATCTCAGTAACTTGTTCACAAAAACCCAAAACTGGTTTCTGTGTGTGTGTGTGTGTGTGTGTGTGTGTGTGACCTTGCAGTGCAGATTCATCCATCGACTGTAGAGGGCGTGTTTGCAGAGTCTTGAAGGTTGACCCATGTCATCTCTTCCTGTGATGGCATCAATCAGCTCCAGCTCCTCGTCTCCCAGCGTCCAGTTCAGGCTGCTGTTTGCTGCTTTTCCTGGATGACGAGCCTCCACGTCACTTATCCCTGAGGAGCGTGCGAACACAGCCACTGCTTACACACGCTGCCAAACACTGAGCACTTATATATAATATATCTAAAGCAGGTTGCTGGGTCTAAGCCCCTCTTACCGCTGAGTAGTGGTCTGTTGAAGGTGAAGCTCGGGGGCAGCTCCTCCACCTCTCCCACCCTCTGGTACATGGCTCTGCACAGATGCTCGCAGTGGTACAGGCTGCCCAGGATGATGCTGCAGAAGTAGATGGGCTCCGTGAAGTAGGTCAGCAGAGAACCTTGGAGACCAACCACGTTCCACCTGCAGAAGACAGAAGCTGAAGCCTCACAGAGAGCACTGCTGCAGCACCACCTGCTGTTCACCAGGGAGCTACAGGAGCCTGCTTGGACACTTTACACTGACTTTGAGAAAGTTAACTGTTACTTTTCCAGTAGCACCAAGCGTTCATCTTAGCAAACCATAGATTTAGCCACTTTTGTGGGTTTTTTTGGGAACTTTGAGCACCTTCTCAGTTTTGTTCTCATCAAAATATTTTTTCACACCCTATTGTTTATATTTTGTTATATAACTCTTTTTACATATTAATTTAACTTTTTTTTTGTATTTATGTACTTTCTAGGCTAATTTCCAGAAATATTTCTGTATGTTTGACTACCTTACGCTAACATTTTTTTTTGTTTTGGTTGACTTTGGTTGACTCCACATAAAAAAAAAAAGCAATTTAGACAATGTTTGCTATCTTGCAACTATTTTGCTCAGAATATACAGTGGAACCTCGAGATACGAGCGTTTGCATTAATTGCGTTATTTTCTCTCTATTTTCTGCATTATTCTTCATAATAGTGACGAGTCTGAAGAGAGTGAGTGGTAAGGACGGTAGTAAGAAGAAGAAACGCATGATGACCATGGAAATAAAGCATGAAAATGTCGATAAATATGAGCGTGGTGCCAGCTAAAGAAAGAATACAAATCGAAAAAATAAAAAAAATAGAAAAGTAAAAAAATAAATAATACCTAAGTTAAGTTAAAGGTTATGTAAGTTACGTAATGTACGTGAAAGGTATGCTATGGAATCAAGTGTTCACGTACGGCCAACTCTCTTCCTTCCCTCCCTCATCCTCCTCATTAAAACCACATTTTATTTTATATCACAGAAATCCTTATGTACTATAATTTTTTGTGTGTGCGTGTGTCTATAGCAATTAAAATCTTTTTTTTTTTACCATTGTTATTAGCACCAATAAGGTAGTTTATTTAGAGGGCCGGAATGGATTCATTTTTTCCCCTGTTATTTCTTATGGAAAAAAAATGATTTGAAATACGAGCACCTCGAGTTACGAGCTCGTTCCTGGAACGGATTATGCTCGATTATGTATTTCGAGGTTCCACTGTATTTTAATGAGTCTTTTGTAATATTTTAAGATGGGTTTTGGCCTTTGTGGGTTCTTTTTCAGTTCTTATTGATTTTTAGCCTGTTTTTCTTCTTTTGTGTAGATTGACAGTTCAGATTATACAACAATAATCAACAATAATGTATTTTTCCTTACATACTGAACTACTGACAGTTTTCCACTGGTGATCAGAGTAGCTCTGCTGCTGATTCCCACTGTCTAGATCATGCACCTGGCAATCTTGTCACTGCAGGACATTGTGAGCAGCCTGTCACCCTGAAGAATCCCATCCCACGTTTGAATGGTTCCACCGGGTCTGACTGGAACTGTTCCTTCAGCTGACTCGATCTTTGTACGGAGCTGCCCTCGAGTTTTGCTCTTCAGAGTTTTGTCTCCATGATCTGGCTCAAGGAAAATATAGATTTACATCAAACATGACTGAACCGGGACTTGAAGTTACCAGTATCCTCACCCGCTGCTGTTGCCTCATGAGGCGAGAAGATGCGAGCATCGCCACAAGGAGAGGAGCTGATGTACAGGTGGAACTGGATGTTCTCCTTCAGTCTGAAACCTTGTCCTTCGTCACCTTTGATGAAAATTGATTTCTGCTGCTTGTTTTGGTCCTCACTGAAGACAAAGGGAGGTTAGTGTGACCACATACATAGCTGCTGCTGAGAGAAGGTAACTTATATCTGTAAATCATGTCACACCTAGACCAGATGATGTACACTTGAGGGCCCTCTACAGCAAGGGTGGGCCGCTGTGGCTGCAGGTTTTTGTTCCAACCAAGCAGCAGCACACCTGACTTGGCTTATTTAATCAACTGCTATGAGTCTTCAGACAGTTGATTGGTCAGTCAGTGTGTTCTGGATAGGTTGGAAGAAAAACCTGCAGCCACAGCAGCCCTTTGTGTCCACTAGAGGGCAGTGGTCTATTAATTATATTTTTCATACAACCACATATGGATTGAATATAAGGTTTTAAGGTGTTTGAAAATTTTTCAAACACCATTGCCAACTGCCCCTGGAAAAGCATCATCCAATGTCTTAAGATTGGTAGTTGAGTTGAAGTGTTTTTTAAAGGGGCAAACAAACAAGTGAGTGACTGCTTCAGTCAGACATTGTTAACCAGGTAACTGTTAAATATAAATATAAGCTAACATTTTACGTAACCACAGCACTCCATAAACTATTAAGTATTCATGTTACATCAGTGAAGTTTCTTGTACAACTTACTGAAGGAAAAGCTCCAGCTGCGAGAACAGGAATCTGATGAGTGACCTTCTTGCGATGACCTCAGCATGGCAGTCGTTAAGGGCCAAACCACGGTCGCTCAGATATTCACCCTCAATGCACTTAGTTCCGGTGGACACACAGATGACCTGAGCCTCTGCCTCTGGATCTGCACCTGCTTGACAAAACATCAACAATGTGGAAACATCCAAAAGAACTGTGAGTTAGTCAAAATACTTGAAAATAATATTTACCTGTTGACATCACTACACCCGCCAAGACTTTTCTTTGACAGTTTTGTGATGTTAGCTTCTGGCTTAGTTTGTTGAACTTGTCATTGACCAGACGGTAAATGGTGTCTGCGAGGGCCTGACGGGGGAGACAGAGTAACTAAAAATGGTGAACTGGACCAAGAAGCTTGTAATGATGTGTGCCATTAATGTGGCACATGTACAAGGATCCTCAGCTCTGAGTCCCTTGTTAATGATGTCCTTCTCACCTGTGGTGGGTGAAGCTGTGGTCCTTCTCTGGGCTCAGGCTTCAGTGATGGAGTCTGACATGGCCTTATGTTGAACACCGCAGACAGAGCAGCTTGTGCGGCCCGGGCCTTGGCCAGTCTCTTGTTCCGTCCTGAACCCTGGAAACTGTGAGCGTCCACCGTCACTGACACCACAAAGTTCTTATCATGACTTTTCCCACTCTCTGAAACAACCGTGTACTTCAGATCTGGCACCAACTCATTCAGGATCATGGCTGGGGTTTTAGGTCGAGGTAAGATTAGGGTGGAGCTGCAGGGTGATGGATAAGCATGGTTTGGTTTTTGGACCTGGGACTGTTGTATTGAATACTCCGATGATGCCAATGAGCCAGAGGACCTGATTCTGTTCAATGAGAAATGATAGTTGTCTCCTGATGGAGCACAGTTCTCAAAAGTATTGTAGAAGTTGTCCTGAAAGTCCACCCGGTCTGTGGTGAAGTCCAGTGGGTCAGACCTGGTCCTGCCAATGACCACATGAGTTTCAGTTGTGGGTTTAAACATAAGTGGAGAATGCAGGGCGGCCTCTGCTGCCCTCTGCTTGGCCTTTTGTTTGGTGGGACCAGATCCTTTGAAGAGCTGCCCATTGACCTCCACGCTCATCACAAACTCAGGGGCGTGGACTGGACCGGTCTGAGAGAGCAGCTTGTACTGAAGGCCCTGCCTGATGTCATTCAGTTGTATCAGAGCGTTCTTAGGTGGAAGAGTTTGATGAGTTGTCTTCCTTTTTCTGGGCTTGTATGGATGCCCACTGTTGCCCTCAGCTAGGGGGTGTTTTCTCTTAGCTACGACATCAGCATTGACTGTTGGACTTTTGCCCATTTTCTGCTTTTCTTTAGCATCAGCTACATGAACCTGTGAAACACAGAAAACAATTACTCATGTTGTATTTTTTACAAACTAAATATGTTTTATCTTTCAATGGGCTGCAATTTATTTTTTTTAGAAGCTAATAATACAAACTGAAATATATATGTAAATATGTAACTTAGGGACTCCGTTTGGTGATGAGCATTATGATGAGTTTTTCTATTATACTATTTAGACTTCTTTAAATATGGGCTGTACATTTTATTTTGTTGTGTGAGACCTGTACTGCATACTTTAGTGGGATTCATTGATTTAAAAAGTATTACTATTATTATTATTATTATTAGTAGTAGTACTAGTATATACAATCAAATACTTAATAATACAATTAAGTAATTTCAATAATGTGAAAATTAATAATCTATAATGTAAAAATTTTAATTAGGATTTTTATTTTGGTTGTTCTCCTTTAAAGTAAATAAATACCCCTCACCTTTGACCTTACAGGATGTTTTTCCTGCAGATTTTTATCTGAGCAGCAGTTCTGCTGAATGAGTCCCCAGAGTGTTGTTGGGTTACATCTGCACAAAGGTTGTTCGATTTTACTGTCCCCTCCAGTATGGAGCTGTGTCGGTCACCAAGGAAGGAACACAACTGAGGTGAGTGTAAAAGGCCGCAATACAAAAGAATATATCATAAAATAGTAAAAATGTTCATTAAATTGTTTCTATTATTATTATTATTATTATTATTATTATTTTGTGATCGTAGTAAATAATAACAAATGACTGTTAAATAATAATATATTGTTATTATATGACTATTATTAATTTCATTATTATTTTTATTTATATTTTCACTTATTAATACTGTTGATTTTAGATTAGATTTATATTTTTATTCTACATTTTAACCATAATGGCTCTGTCACTTGAATTTCTTGGTTAAACGTGAAAGAAAGTCCGATCTTTAAACTACAAATCCCCAACCTGAAGGTAATGGAATGTGACCCAGTGATAAATATAATATAAATAAGAATAACTGATTCTGCTGTTCTTCATCGTGTTAATAGTAATAGTGATTAGTAGTTTGATTATCTAGGTGAACTAATATAATTGATTTTTATTTAAAATTAACAACCCTAGGTTGATAAACAAAAGTTGAAGTACTATATCTGGTTATATTTTTATTACATGCTATTCTGTTGGCCTGGATTGCTCAGATCAAAGTAACATTTATAACCAAACACACAGAAATAATGATTCCAACCACTTTTAAAGCAGCTTAAGCACATAAACAGTTTTCATTCTTCTCTATAAATTTATCCAGAGTAACATTCCAGATGTGATCAACACAATTGTTTTTTTAAAGCCATAATGTGTGTGAAATAAAGGTTTCCATAACGATCTTGAACGGATATGAGGAAATTATTACAAAGAAAAAAAAAGCAAACCTAAGTAAATGTTTAAGACACAATTTCAATGAGTACATCCGTTTTGTTGTCTAAATAAGATAATGAGATATATTTATATTTATAGAGATTAATGAGGTAAATCTTAGCACTTACAGTGTGGTCAGAACCTCTGCTGCTGCCTCACTGCTGTCTTCTCTCTCTGTGAGCGGTATCTCCTAGGAGTTAACAGAGGAATCTTGTCTAACCCTGTCTCCTTCCTAATCGCTCTCAGAGCTCTAGTTCTTATTGGACACCAATTTGGAGAAGAGGAGGAGCAAAAAAAAAAAGTCAGTCTTTTTGTTATTTATTTTTTTCTATCTTCATCAAATGAAATACTAATTATTTGTGTTCAATATGTGCTTTAAAACTCTTTCAATTGATGGTGTTTTATGGTTTCCATATGGTTTTTTTTATCCAAACTAAGTCAGGAAAAAAACAAAAAAACAAAACAAAAATAAAAAACACAATAACAACCCTGGCAACAGTCAAAACCATCATAAATTCCCAGCTCCTACAAACTAAGATATAAACTGCTATTTTTTAAAAATCTCCCCTAAACTATAAAAATATCAGGAACCTTGAAAGAAAAGTCACATTTTTTAAAGCAAAATTATAATGAAAACATATCAATGATCTTTGATGTTTGTACCATATAGATTACACTGAGGATAAGACACAGTATGTAATGTGGATAAATTACAGTATGTGTATTTTAATGTCATGTAAATGTTTGATTACAGTTATAAAAAAATAAAACATTTCTGGTTATTAGGACTTTATCATAATAAGAGCTCATGAAACGTAAATTATGCCTAGAATCCAGAGTTTTTTCAACTGGAACCGGAAAATTCACTGCTGTGTGATTTAGAAAATATCAGAACGACCTTCGCTCAGCTCAATGGCCTAAACCAAAGGCCTTTATTGGAAGCTGCAGCACAGAACATCACAGATGATCCTGGACCATGATGTGCAGAGAGCTGGAATGAGCTCTGATTACTTTCAATTTGACACCACAGCATCCATTATTAATGAATCCTAATGGGCTGCAGCCACATTCAACCCTCTATTGATTATGTTTTTCTTGCCTCTAATCTAATCATAGATGGAGCTGCAGGATAAGTCCCTCAGTTCGAGAATGTCACCGGAATGACGACCATTCTGCAGCCATGGCTCACGGAGGATGAAAAACAAACAGGTGTAGATTGTCTGGTTTAATTTTTTATTACTTGTAATATTTGAATTTTCAACACACACGTGACTATAAACACACATAAACATAAGTCAGTTTCCACAGAGTGTTTGGCAAAAGACAATTGCCAAATAAATGAATGACTGAAACAGAAAACCAATGTAAGGTTCATAAAAATGCAATTTGTTTACAGTCTGTTTAAAATGTCACAGCTTGACTACAAACATGACATATCAAACGTGGTCAAAATTTAGAAAATATATACTTTTTTGGATCGGCAATATTTGTCAACAGTGTTATGCTAATGTAATAAGATTCTGAAAAGGTCTTCAAAAATAAATGTTTCTCAAAAATGAAAGAAAACACACTCATTTGCTTCAAAATGCATAGTAATGACTATTTTCATGGTCGAAACCCAGAAAAAGAAAAATCACTTTTTGGTACGGCAATCTTGGACAACAGTGTTATGCTATTGTAATAAGATTCTGAAAAAGTCTTCAAATAAAAAAGTATCTCAAAAATGAAAGAAAACACACTAATTTGCCTCATAATGCATAGTAATGACAACTTTCATGGTTGAAACCCAGAAAAAATATAACTTTTTGGTACCTCAATCTTTGACAACAGTGTTATGCTAATGTAATAAGATTCTGAAAAAGTCTTCAAAAATAAAAGTTTCTCAAAAATGAAAGAAAACTCACTCATTTGCCTCAAAATGCATAGTAATGGCAATTTTCATGGAGGAGCCACAAAGACAAGTTGCAGTGTCCAATGATACATTTTACATCACATTCATACATTCGTCGTGCCATCAAACAACCACTGTGGAACGAATTGCAGTATGGAAATCATGAGGATAACAGAGGGAGATGCTACAACTTCCGACTTCGTTCGACATTCGCTGCGAAAATCTGTGAGTTCTAAAAGAAAGCTAATATGAGTATTTTTTTTACCTGTTGAGTTAAATCAATGATGCAGTACAATCACTATTAACATTTCATCATAACCTGCAGAAAACATAATTTTCATCATAGGTTTTCAACATCTGACCGAAAATGACATGTGAAATTAAGATGTTGAAGGATAGAAGATAATTTTTTAAAAAGAAAATTCTCAAAATGCTCTAATTTGCTGAGAAACATGCAGAAAAAATAATTAATTTTTAATTAAATATTTCAACATCTGAAAAACATGACATATTAAATTAGGATTGAGTATAGGATAGGATTTTTCCAAAAATTCAGAAAAAAAATCCAAATCCAAAGAAATTTCAAAATTATCTAATGTGATGAGAAATACGCAAAAAAAAGTTTTGGTAAAGAATTTAGAAAAACATTTCAACATATATCACAACATCTGAATGAAATCACATGGTGAATTAGGATTAGGATTTTGCTGAAAAAGTTTTAAGGATAAATTTCTCACATTTCTGCTCTAATTTGATGAGAAATATGCAGAACACATACATAAAACTTTGACATTTGTTTTTTCAAAAACATTTCATCAAATCATTTCAACTTTTGACAAACATGAGATTTTTGCCAAAAAATTCCCAAAAATATTTTTTTCTGAAAAATTTTTCAAAACTTTTGACCAACGTGATAAGGAAAATTAAGATGCAAGATTAGGTCCTAAAA